AGTTGGTTTGAAGTTCATTGACGAACTCTTGGTAGTTATTCATCCATCGCGGACGAAGAGTAGAATTTTGGTCGAATAATAGATCCAGCTTGAACCAATCGAGGGCCATTCCCTTGAGGTAGGACTGCGCAAAGATGACCTTAGCGCAGTCGCTAGCAAAAGCGAGGGGATGGTCCTGGAAATTGAGTTCGCATTGGACCAGAAATACTCGGAGTTCTCGGGGATCTTTCCTGTCGAACTGTTCGGGCTCACGGACCTTGGTCCGGAGAGCAGAGGATGGTGGAGGTGGTGGACGACTGGTGTGACGAGCCAAGCTGGCAATGGCTTGGGCTAATTGTGCAATAGCCACGTTGGGGATGGGTTCGGCATCATCAGCGGTTGGGACAGTGGGGATGGGAGGATCAGCAGGAGGAGGGTCGACGAAGTTGGGGACCTCAGAACCGAGTCCAAAGAAGTGGACGGGGTCTATGGGTTGTTCCGTGGTGTCTCCGAAGTCGGAATCTGCAACTGGTGATCGATTCCTAATGGGACGCATGATCGGAGTCGATGGGAGAGGGGTTTCAAGATTAGAAAAGCTTCGAAACTCAACTGGGTTTCTCGCCAATCGACTAGGACCAGGCTGTGAGGGTTCTGGGGACGGTGAGGCAGAGTTGGGAACTAATGTGCATAGTTGCGAACGAGTGCGAGGGGCTTTTGGTGCCATACAAGACGTGTACTAGTCAGGCAGTAATAAAATACTGTCAGAGACCAGGTCGAGACGAAGGAGTGTCTCTGTGATGGAGGGCTTCGGCCTCAGCGACTTATGCCAGGAGCGCTGTGCCTAGTAAACACATCCATGCCCTAACTTACTAACTGGCCACCAGAACTGAAGAGGGTAAACTCTAGTCGATTTTATTACTGGAGTGTAACCTATGTACAAGTTAAGTATATATAGTTACAGCGAGGGCGGTCCGCAAATGGCGGAGCCGAGCGGAGCGGAGCTAACGGGGTTTAGACATTAGCCGATTGAATATTACCGATGAGTCGGGTTACGGGGTTAGCGGAAAGGCAGGCGATAACCCAGAAACGGAAAGGAGGGATAGGCCTGAAGGTGGGCTTTGCAGGGCAAGCGAGTGTATTGTCCAGCGGAGGCGGGAGTGCGCTAGCGGACGTCGGAGCTGTCCAGAAGCCTTTGGGGCTCCATACTTAGGGAGGCGTAGGTAATAAATTGAAAGGAGGGGGTGGTGACCATTGAGGGGTACCGAGGGGGTTGCGGAATACGGGAGCTCCAAGGTTAGTGAGGAAGGAGCGGAAGTAAACCAGAGGAATCGGAGGGATCGGAAGTTGATGGCCGGGGATGGATATGACAGACATCAAAAGCCCGAGCTCAGGGAAAAGACGATGTTTACGAAGTATCCATAATTAAAACATACAACGAAATTTACACGGAAATTATGAAAAATAGGGAACTATAGTTATGCAAATTTTCAGCCCAAACGGTCCAGCCGTTGTGAAGTTATACCCATGACAGGAATATAGAAATCTGCATCATGTTTAATGACACATGAGGGTGGCAATGCGAAGGGAACTGCTGTCGGAACTGAGATCTGCACTTCGGCAGATCGCGAAGACCAATTTCCATCCAAATAAGGAAGAGCCCAGTCAAAACAAAGCACAGAAAGTGCAAAACAACCTTAGATCATGAGGGAAAAATCTGAAATAAATCACAGAAGCCCATATGAAGGATATAAACACCCGCACATACCATAAATCCGGAACAATTAAACAGAAACAGCGTTCGCATACGAACGACTATGGGAACGATGCACGTGATTACCAAATGTGTGCACGAACTTTTGCTAACTCGATGAATACCAGGAAATAGAACACAACTTTAGTACCATTGGAAAGGTGGGAATAAATGAAAATTTATGATACCAAGAACGTGAGAAACCATCCAGAAATGAATGAGATACAAGGACATGAAGTTAGAAACCTGAAAATGCATGGGAAAACAGCTTCAAGAGGTCCAGAGCCCTAAATAAAATACATAAAAATATGATATCTTCAAGGACGACCTACTATAACAACGAACAACACATATGGAGGATTAGGATGTGATAATACAAAGGGGAATCAAGGAAGATGAACAAAATCCACGAAAACCACTAAACTACGATGGACCATGGCGGGAATTTTAGGGAACGATATTCTAATGAAGTGGAGAGCTATAATACATTCGTTTGAGTAATTCTTGACTACTAGCAACTTTTTCTTTCGGTTTTAAACCTGAATAATTCACTCATTTACCATTTCAAGTCTCATTTTAACTAAATGTCACTGAATAAAAATGGAATAAATCAGCTGAAGGTCTCAGTGCAGCCGTATGCATAGTAATGCGAAGTTTGAATTCAGAATCACCGAGTCATAGCGAATTTAATGGTAAATATGAGGAATTTGAAATAGGAAACTGCGACAAATGCAGCGCAGTCAAGTTCTAATTAACCATTAAAATAGCTTAGGCAAGGAAGGACAATAAGGATTCTAGGTGCAGTCTGACCACAGTAGAGCCGCAGTTCAGCGCAGCAAAGTGCAGTAGAACTATAGCATGAAATTTTCATTTTTTATTCAGTTTGAGAAAAATACACTGTAAATAAATCCTGTAAATACAAGGTAGAGCGTGAAAAAGGAAGGCGACCCAAGGAGTATAAAAGGGAGACCCTTTCTGCAACTTTTTGCCCCCCTAAGAGAAGTAAGAAAATAGAGTATTATTTTTCTCAAGCATTTCTGGTTGTCACTCCAGTGCGAAAAAGTGATATACAGTTAAGATTGCCACTGTAGTAAAAGGCAGCAATTAAGGAGAGAAATATTAAGTAGATATTTCAACAGGAGAGCTGGTTAACACTCCAGATTTCAAAGTGTAAACACAAAACAGTTATTTTGCTACTGTTAAAACAAGCAATAAAATAAGACAAAAATAAAACAAACTCAAGGGACACTCCAGACACAATCCAAATCCATTAACTGAGTAGAATCTTTGAAACTTCACCAAGTAGAAGATTTAATTCAAGTTAAATTCCAAATTAAACAATGCTGCACAGAATTACACCTAGACAAATTAAGAAATTTCAATAAAGGAACAGCTCTGCAGGGCTCGGTTTATCTGTAAGTCAATTCCCAGAAACTTTAGACTAACCCATAAAAATAGAATTAGCCAAAACACTCGGATTGGTACTATATTTACAACAAATAATACTAGTACACTTCCCCATCCTAACTAAAGAACCAGGGAACAGCTTGGTGGTGGTCTTGTTTGAACCTCCCAACTGACCTTCCTTCATTCTCTCCTTCAGCATGCAGGCATGTGAATTTCGAGTGAGAACGGCTTAATCAGCACAGGCGCGTGTCTGAGAGTCGCACACGTGTGGATTGCATGTAGGAAAGGTTTCTAGAGCGTACAATCGCATCTGGAGAGATGTGTGTGAGTTTCAAACTGAGATTGGAATAATGAGTGAAGACGAATGCGCAGTGAGTCAAACTTGTACTTACAGGAGCCGACTGGGTGTCTGAAGTCTGAGTTAACATAGTTGTAACAGTTTTAGCTACAAGTGCTCAAGATAACAATCGATTGTTTGCAGAGGGGCCAGGTGGCTTGCCTTACTGCCTGAGCGGTACTATAGTGAAAGTGGTCCGAATTATATGTACAAGTCATATTGTCATGGTGACCCTAGGTTACAGAGGATCTTGTGCACAGCCCTTTGGGGCCTAAATTTGCGCTACAGAGTTTGCAGGACAAATGAGCCAGAAAGAAAAGAACTGCAGGGTCAATACATTTGCAGAATTCCCACGAATTGTGGACATGCAAGATGTTCAGATGTTACAGTTTAGCCGTAACCCCGAGTGGGAGCGGACTTGATGGACGTCTCACATGTCTTCATCTCACGTGTCTTGCCTATTTCAGTTCCATCTCAATTCATGTAGCTTTGCGACTACCTGTATGACTCGGATGTCTCTCTTGTTTCATCTCGCATGTGTTAGCCTGTTTTCATGTATATAAGGAGTTGACCAGTGAAGACGGATCCTTCAACTGGTCAACACAGGTTGCCAACCTGAATTGACTTCTTGTGATCTTGTGACTTGTGGCTCGTGATCTTCTTGCTCATGACCTCGCTTCTCATGATCTCACAACTCTCGCTCCGTCCCGCTCCGTTCTCACGCTCTTAGTGCCGAGAGGTTTGTGACACAAGAGACCTTGCAAGCAAGGTAATGAATATTCCCTAGACACTACCATCCTTTCATTGGGGGTTCAAATTAGTTTATATGGCCAATGATGGTGTACCAACAATGTTATAGCTGATGTTGAGGTGAAACGGGGTCGCGGTTGTACTGAACTCGAGATGAGCGCTGGGCGGCTAATGCAATACATTAACGCTATCTATCAGGGGGCTCAAATAATACGCAATAGCTATGGTGCACTGAGCAAAGGTGTGTATACAGTCTAATGGACAGTTACGCCGGGTCTAACGGCCTCAATCGGCAATTGGAAGCCCGTTCCGTAAACTCAGAATCAATTCTAATAGGGGTAATACTGAATTAAATTTGGTAAGATATAGTACAGGTAGAGGGCATCGAGCGATGCACGCATTCATGACCTTACCGGACATCCATACCCCATTATTGAATGGATTCCCACGGGGATAAGAGTGGTCAAACGGGTCAATATTTAGTGGGTTATACTTTTTTTTTCATTATCATTCCCATTACCCTGTAACTTACATGATATGTACATTACCTTTAGCTTTCTGTTCCAGGAGAAAGCGTTGCGCCCTCTTGCTAAAACAAGTTGTACAAGGCATTGTTATCCCGGCAAGAGAGGGAGCACTAATATTCAGACCATTATGTAGGTTATCCTGTCAAATGGCGGCCTGGAATTTTGGAACTTTAGGATGGGCGTATCTGCCTTTCGGGACAAAGGATGTCGCATCAGGCGTTTGGACACTCTCATCTGATTACTCACTCCCCGCCCATCCATGTCATGGTAGTATCATCCCCATCACAACTGCCGAAGCTGAGACTCTCACAAGTATTTGGATTCAGATATCTTTACAGCTGAGCACAAAGGAACTGTGGTGGAATGTATGAGGGGTGGGTTCGAAATGATGGCAAGCATTGCATCCGACATGGTTAGCCATTGACAGACGGTGTAGCTTCACCGTCCACTGGTGTCACAGAAGGCTGCGGCGATTCCAATCATGCCCGCTGGCAAGAAAGCTTTGAGCCATGTTATATTCGCCGATGTCTGATCCGAGATATTGATACCCAGGGGTCGCGGTGAAGCTATCTTCAAAAGATACATATCCGCTATCGTGGTTTGCGCTTGCAGGATGCTTAAAATCGGGTTCTGGCTGAATAGGCTGTCCGATCGGTTGAGGATTGCACCCTTCATACGAGCCCGGCTCGGCAGATGGTTGTATGTCGCTGTCGGACATCATCGAAGGCGGAATGCTGCTCGACAATTGAGCCTCACGGCGAGCAAGCTCTTCGTTGACAGCAGTCTAATGTTGGGGACATGAAGCAGTTAGTATGAAGGGAATTCCTGGCGTGCTCACGATCCGCTTATGCCCGATCAATGGTCCGAATGCCTGCTCGCGCTCAAGAGGGGCAAAGTCAAGGAACTCCTCGGGAGTGGTTCGAGACAAAATGATCGCAGAACAGAAACAGTTCATTCCGGGAAACATGGTGAGATCGCACTCCTCCTACCAGGCAGTATTAAGTAATTGTTCATGTTTCGTAAACCGCGCGCGCAAACCAAGGTGGGATCCTCAAGCACCCACTCTCGACTATCCCACAGATGCGGGCGGAGGACAGCATCGGTATGCTCTTCTGTATGGTCTCCAAGCAGGCGGATAAATTCGGCGGCTTCCTTGGGTGTGCGTGCGAAAACCCAGTCAACCTTACATTGTGTGTTAATGCTATCGATCGCAACTGATATGTCGAGTAATCGACGCCAGCGATTGAAAGCCGACAACACAGGAGGCGTGAACATGTTTAGAACATGATCTGCCTTTGTGCTTTCGGGACTCTCAACATGACATGCCTTTGACTTCGGATAGGCTTCGAAAACTATCAGTACTCGAGTGAAGGACTGGGAAAGTGTCTCGAGTAATTGCCGTAAGCCCCCTTCGACAGTAATAATGGATGCAAGAGTGATAAGGAGCACAGCAGTATGGGAGTCGATGAGTACGTCAGGACCATCAGGGAGTAGCTTTACTGCAGAAGACGAATCGATCTTCGAGTTATACCACAACCTGTCGCGTTCAGCTAGCGTAATATTACAAGTATGAGAGCACAGAGCAGCAGTGACAGCCCGCCTTTGAATCAGGTTCAATGATACCATATATCGGTGTGGCTGAGATGGTGTAATCCAATGTTGGGGGATCAGCAAGGAGTTGGGGTGAATCATCTCCGAAGGGACACTTGTGGGTGATGGGTCCACATGAGCGGGGGCTTCGCGCACGCGGGTACTTGGGGAAAGTGTCGTAGGTGCGGTATCAACTCGTGGCTCATAGACTATTGATGGGTCCTGCAGCTGGCGGAAACGCGCAACAAGTGACGCGGCTGGTTCAGAACGGTATGCCGCAACTGCGCTGCTATTGCTGTCCGTAGGTGTTATAGATATACGGCCAGCGACAAATATAGACTCCTTTTGAGTTGCAGAAGGTACAGCCAGATTCAGAGTTTGTTCGATGCTGTGTCGCTGTAAGCTAGTCCGAGACTCCATTACCAAAATTGGATTTGACGGAGTAGAGATCGAAGAATTTGGTGGTCTCATATCTCTGGCAGGACAGTCGTCAGCTACTTTGGGAAGTTGGGTCTTTGTTACATCTTGTGCCGTCATTGGACCGGTTGTTTGGGGAGATGACGAAACTAGATCATTTCTTCCCTTGGAGAGTTGAGAGAGCACACCCGATCGGGCCGACAGCTGGCATCTCTCGGCCCTAGTAAGTAGGAAACCACCCAGAGAACGCAAGAGACCCGAACGAGTTTTGGATAAAGTCAAGTCATCCAGCTCATCGACCTGTCTCCAGCGTTGCTTAGGTTGAATTGCCTGAGCTGCCATCACAATTCTGTTGAGCTCAATCTCGTCTCCATCGAAATCGTCCATCGAAATATCCGCCGCGTCCATGTGAGTCAGAACCTTGGTTCCGGTGACGAACGGGCTATGGATTTTCCGTTAGACCCCTGACGGTTTTACGGAAGAAAGTCTTCCCACCTCCAGGATAGCTCAATATTTAGTGGAGCAAGGTCTTGAACCTTGGCGAGTCGGATGACATTTTTCGATTTTGAATTGTCAACCCCGTGTGATTTAGGTAGCCCTTTGATGGAAGGCGGAGCAAGTAGATCCTTGAAACCCGTGAGCTGAGGGATCCTAACAGGGCGAGCGTTCGGTTCGGGAAGGAGGGGAACTAGAAAGAATGAAACTACGATAAAACGTTAGTGCCTTGAATGTTACCTTTGAGTAGCAAAGTCCCTGTGTCATCCTCGTCCTCAAGGGGGACATCCATGATGATAGCATATGGATTAAACTTCCGTCTCTTGTCGGAGTTGTCTCCAAGCGGGTACACATTCCTTATCTCGCTGTCGAATGTGTCGAAATATCCCTCATCGTTATCGCTCACAGGCTGCCCCACTGATATCTCGTCCTTCGTGAGTGCCTCACTGATCGACGAGGTCACATTCGCTTCTGGTGTATGTTCTTGAGATGTTTTCCCAAACGGAACAATAGTATCTTCAAGCCGCAGTCTCTTGCGAACTTCGTCTGATTGAATCAAAGAAGCGGATCCAAAGCCCCGTTTCTGAACTCGGGGGATAAGGAAATTATCTGATGCAAAATGAAAAATAATGGTAAGGAGATGAAACACATCGTTCCATGTGCAATTTGACGGACCCATGCGGGACTCAGCAACCATGGTTGAAAAGAATGGCTTTTCTGGCTGGGGCGATTGTTCCCATAATATTTCATCGATATCATCGCTCTCAGGATCGTCTGCGCTCTGGTCAGCGATGAGAGAAGGTACAGGTGGATCCGAGGCGACAAAGTCCGCAGCGGCGGGAACATACGCAGCTAATGAAACGGGATGAGGGATACCCACCAAACAAAATAAGAGCACTTACTCCACCCATCCACAACTGCCATGTTCTCTCTTGTGAGATTGGTCTCAAAGTCTTCTAACTTGACACGAGGAACGAACTTCCCAACCAGTTCGGGAAACGCAGAAACGGCGCGCGATCGGCGCGCGGGAGATTCCAAGTTTCGGAGTCTTTCTGATAGACCCGGTGCCCGGGCTGGGGTTGATGGTGGAGATGAATGAGGTATTCCACATCGTTTTCGAAGAGGATCACTGTCCCGGGGGAACAGAGGAGGTGTGATGGGGCGAGGCACCATGATGGGAGGTGAGTCTGGGTGGAAAAGGAAATCTTGGACGGCGAGTGGAATTGAGCCCCCAGATATCCCAGGTCGGGTGATGTTTGGCAATGAGCTTTTAAGCGGCTCCGCGTACCGCGTCTCGTCTGGGTGATGATCAATTTCCCGACTCCTGAACATGAAGTGAACATCGAATCCTCGGATCCAGAAGAAATAATTTACTAACAGCTCTTCATCCGCATTCTTCAAAGTGTCATCGTCCAGTATGGCAGTCACTCCGACAGGCTTCAAGAAGCAAGCCATCATCATGTTCCGATGGTTTTTAGGGAACAAAGTAATGCGGGACTTGGCAGCATCCAAAGTCAAAAGAGGAGTGTTCCGTGCCGTCTGCCTGGATACCAAAGGAGGAGATAGGGGCCTTCTATTATTATTTCCACATTCTGGATAAAGAGGAATTGGAGCTAAATCAAGATGCCATTGATAGCACCGCACCTGGATCACACTCTATTATCATACGCATCGACTCCAGTTTCGAACTTTGAAAAGAGGCCCTCCACTTTAGATGGTCGCGCAGATACTGTTGATCATCAGCATCCATAGTCCATCGCTCTACAGTAGGCGGCTGGATCTCCACCACGTTGCAAAGACGAAATAGTCTAGTCATGGGTATCTCCGGAAGCCCGAAGACGCCGATATGGTCATGAGGCACAAGACGAAGGCATTGAGAGAGAAGCTAAAGGAAGTGGGAACTCATTAGACGCGTTGCCACGCCTCGGAGTACTCCCACCTCAGCGACCATGGCAGTGGAATAAGCGACATGATCAATTAGAATGTGTTCATTCATGTACTCCTCTAGGACACCGTACAGATATTGCCGAATTTCGGTTTCATGATTGCTCTGCATTGTCGTTGTTGCCCTCATAAAGGGAGGACTGGGAGCGCTGGCCTCGGCTCGTTCCGCTGTTGATGAAATCAACAAAAAAGTTGCATCCATTATGTAATTTGGGTCTCTTGAAAAGCTTCGTGTGCGATCTCCCTAGCTCCAGCGCTTGTCTGTGATTCAGTAATTGGGTCTCTCGCATTAGACATGAATCGTCGTGTCGCGTCGCATGCCTATGAATACATGCCATATATACTTGCATCGCATTGCGGCAAGTTTCCAAGTATAACTGGTTGGGCGATTTCTTTGCGATGGTCTCGAAGGCGACCATCAGCCGTCATCGGTTTGCTTCTTTGTTCTGCCCTTATAATGTCATCCCCCTGGGCCCCTACCCTTGCTGAGCGTTTCACTTGAGCCCGTTGACCGGGTCTTGTTTTGCTAATTCGCCCCCTCTGACTGGCTGGACCACTAGTGCTGAGGTGCGCGTACATGGGATATGCACACAACCCTTACATTTATTCACGATTTCCGTGCACCAGCCCGCTCATTGTCTGTTGTAAAGCTATTGTGGCTAACTTTGACTTGCTTATTCGGAGATGCCGGGGCCATTCCTTACCCTTTCAAGTGTTCTCGCTTCTTTTTTAGGATCTATCACGTATGTGTCACTCCGCCACACCCTTTCCGACGTCAACCATAACTTAACAATCAACAGGATTTCTTCAAGCTGTCGATCAGCTTTGGCCACGATAGCAACGGGTCCCGCATCGGGCTGCCTCAACCCAGGAGGTCTCATTGCCCTCGCGGCTACTGTCGGTTCTAATTCGAGCACACCTATCGTCAGCCCTGTTTCTACATGGGTTCAAGGCCTTTGTGGCCAGCCAGCTTGCGACAACTCCACGCTTTCGCCTTTGGTATCGGCTATCACGAGTGGGTGTCAGAGTGAGCTGAGAGACATTGGACTTTCCTCAGGTGATATTGGAACCCTTGATTCAAGCGTCGCTCGCTTTTATCCTGCAGGAAGAGAGGCTATCTGTCTCAGAGAGTATGTCTGTGTTCGCACAGTACCAGCTCATGCTGCCTAGTAGCTGATAACAGCCACATTCCCACATCTGATAATAGCACGAACCGAGGAAATGCATTGTGTGTTGCATCCCTGTTGGGCGATGTTCAAAACAGCACCGGTCAACCCCTGACTGTAGCCAGCCTTCCTTCCGCTGTTGTCACCGTAGTCGGCAACTCGACCCTTGGAAGACAAGTCATCTGTTCGCAATGCGCGCAGGGAGCATACAACATTATTCGTTCCCCAGTCCCCAATAGCACTGTGGACAGTGTTGATCGATATTTTAACGCAACGTGTGGAAGCGACTTCATAAGTACGTTTTTGGACCCTCCAGCGCCTCCTCATTCGTGACACTTTCTCATCTACCTTGCACCCCCCGCCCTCGTACGTGTGCTTACTCGACGCAATCCCCTCCTTTTCCCGTGCTGTAGGAGCCGGAGAACCAGCGAACATCGTGGTTGCTACCGGGACTTTGGCAACACCCAAACCGAGTAGCTCATCACCTGGCGCAGCAATTGCCCTTCGTGCCCCGATCTCCATTACTGGTATTAGCGCTGGCTCTCTAGGAGCTGGCCTTGGTATCTTTATTCTTGGATTCGCTTGGACTTTAGTAGCCTGATTTTGGGTGGTGATGATGTTCTTGTGCGGAAGCACCTGGACCTTTACTCATGGACTCTACCATAAAATACATGCTTTCCTTGCAGTGTTGGGTCTTGTTGTGAGCTCAGCGCTGTTACCGATGCTTCGCTCAAACGTCCTGCGAAATCTGTCATACTTTCCTGTTCCCAGACTTGAACTATTAAATGCCCTAATTCTTGCAAACCCCCAAGACCGCTCGTCATGCATAATTCATTGGGAGCTCCTGACCGCCGAGATCGAAATGCGACGCCATACGTCGGTACATTTCAAGGGGCTGGTTATCGGTTAGAAGACAATGCCTCAACGATCTAAGTGGGACGGGTAATTCTATTGTTGTAAGCAGGTATTTGTTATGTAACTTTTTGTTTTGCAACCCCCACCCATTTTCTGTTCCCCACCTACCGCCAGTGCTATGACGCTTCATTGTCATGTATCGCAAGGCAACTCACACAACCTCGAAGTATCCCACCCGTCTCTGAAACCATCTTACAAGGGGTGGCCACCCTCCCCGACCGCCGATGCAGGGCGACTTTAGGGTTGTGAGACGTGCACGCGTTATGTAATTTCATCCGCACCAGAATCTCAAACTTCACTCCAGGACAGTAGATTGCACTGTGACAGAGACTGCTATGCTGTGATCTATCCAATTCCCTCCTAACTGTTGGGGTGAGACAGCAGCTCGATCTCAGAATCCATGAACATTGCCTCGGCGAACCAGATTGCAACGAGCCAGAGATGTAGAGATGTAGAACCTTTTTATCCCTAAGACATGGATACACGGACTGTGCTAAGCCATATAGCACTCTAATAGGACCAACAACTATAACAACAATCAGCGTAAGAGAAATGAAAAAGCAAGCCTGAACATTTGTTGTTCGAGTCGTCTACGTTTTGCAGAGCGTGAGATTGGCATGTTGATGCACCTAATGTATGTGGTCATGTCCATCTTGATCCTCTACTGAGGATGGAAGGCGAGTGGAAAGGGCAAGTGCGACGAGAGAGAATGATGCAAAGCACCAATATACAGCATATCCGTTGGCCAGTCTGTGCTCCACAGAATATGCAAAGAGCGCCGTTGCGACTGCCGGTCCAAAGGCCCGTGTGAAACTAATGACGGATTGGGCGATTCCGTTAGTCGCTCCGAGCAAGTCTGGCGCAGGGCACGCGGCGGCAACGTAGACAAAGATGGAACCTAGGAATGGTAAATCAGACAATCGGGCGCGCATCGACCGGAGAAATCCCCCTACTAAAACCCATATCCACGACCGAATTGCATACCAGCACCAGCGAGAGCATCACTATGTGCCAATGGGACAAAGAACCATCATCGAGGCCAGACAACTCCGCAAGCATATGCATGATGACAAAAGATGGAAAAATGACAAGAAACGATAGGAGAGCTGCCCGATATATAAATTTAAGACCAAACCTCCGGTATGCCGAGGGATATACAACAAGCTGAATGACTCCGCTGAGGGATCCAATGGTCGCAAGAACCACCCCAACCTTCTGCGGCTGTAGACCAAGCCCACCAGAACGGACGGGGACTGGTGTCCAATGAGTACATGGAATGACACGGAATGAGCCATCTCAGGCTTACCAGCTAAGAAAACTGTTAAGAGGGCATAATACGAAATCTCCAAGACAGCAATGCAGCCATAATTAAGTATTGCGACAATGACTGCTTTTGTTAGGACTTGGGATATGGATCGATTCTCCTTCTCATCGACCTCCCCCACGGGGCTAGCAATAGTCCCATAATTTCGTTTAAAATAGGAACGAGGTCGTCTTGGAAGCGTCTAAAATGGCAGTCAGGTGGGCGATGGACACGATGCAGCCTCTCCTCTCACTTCTTTTGTGCAGAAAGTGCATAGAAGCAAAGTTAGGAGGGCGAACGCAGCAACCACGAGACAGGGAAGAAAATAAGGGTATTGAGTCCAAAAAGGATCCGTAAATGTTTCTGGATACGCATCCGCAACGTGCTGAAGAGAGCCACCGATGAGTGGACCTATCCATTGAATACCAGAAAAATATGATTATCCCATCTGCGCAGTGGAAATGTGTGGCAAACCAGAAGTGGCCCCAATAGTCCACGCGATAGGAAGTAGACTGAATGCCACCGCACGGTTTGAACCATCGGATAGCTCGGAGATCTGTTGGAAATTGGAAGCACTGATGACCTGACCATCGAAGAACTTACCATCGTCTTCGTGACTCCAATGTTCCCACTTAGCATGCCCGCAATCGCTCGGCTGATAATGAGGCTTGTGAAAGACTTTGACAAACCAAAGGACAACATAGAAACAGTGAGCCCCATTAAACCTATCATCAAGACGGGTTTCCTCCCAATGCGGTCGGAAAGTCGACCCCATTGCAAAACACAGCAGCCTTTGTAGGAGAAAGTCGAGGTCAGTGTTAGCTCCAACGTGCGAAAAATCCCAACCTTGTGCAAAAAAGAACGTTGATTCCTGACGGGAAGCGATGCATGAGCAGGGATGTGGAGGGTTGCAACGTGAGTGCCATACAATGAGGCCGACATAGTACCCTGTTGCGGACTCGTCCCCCTCGTCACACCCATCTCGTTGACAGCCTGATGCGAAATGAAGCTTTTCACTTTGCGTAAGAATAAACTGGGCACGTTGTACTCTTACCTTTGCGATGAAAGGGAAGATCACGCTAGCGGACAACGGTTCACAGATCAAGACAAAATACACCGTCGCCAATTGCAGTGCTGGCAAAGGGCTCCGTGGTCTCGTTGCTGACGGATTATTTTGTTCTTCTAAAGATGATTCAGCCCGGAAGATGGCTGGTGGGCGAACATTGGAGTCCTGGCTCATCGAAGGCGTAGTCGGGAGGAGGTGGAGGAATGAGGGGAAAATGATAGGATTGCATATCTAGAAATATGTATGATTAAAGTCAAATAAGAAGCACCCTGAGAGTTCTTCGGTCCACGCAATGCGACGTCACAGTTATCCGCGCACCAGGTGATCTAAATATATCCTAATCTGTACTTCATCGTCTAAATGGAGATGCAGTTCCGACGGAGAGGTGCGGATAATGCCGACGCTGGTTCTTTGCGGCGGGGACGGCCACAAACAGGGCTTCGCGATTTCGAAGTCCCTTGGGGTTCATTGGGACAACCTGATGACGCCATTCCCTACTCCCTATCAACGACAACCGAGTGGCTACGGAGATATCGAGCTTTGGAAGGACGAGGTTGATAGTTTATTTTTCATCTCTCATCTTTTGGTGGGTAATAATTAAGTATACTAGTCGTGTATAAAAGCATCTCATCTCAAATCTCTGATACGAGTCTGAGGTGTTTCTCCATATCAATTTAGGCATTACGTTGCCCGATATGCACAGTTACTTGGAATACATTTAGATATTTGGTATGAGTCTGAGCCAACGCGCGACATAGAGGCCATGAACGGCGACTGGTGGGGTTGGTGTGACGGACAAGGACTCGTGCCATTGCAATAGTTTCCCACGCTCACAGTTGTTCATCAAGCGGTTGCTCCGAGATGCTATGTCCCTTTCTCGGTCTGTGAGCAAATGTAGACACAGATTTGTGCGTTACAAAAAAAAGCCCGAAGTTTGCGGCTCTTAACAGCACATGAGGCACCAAGCGCGCATTTTTTAATCAGTCATGCCACTTGAACATTCAAATGCTCGCGTCACCCCATATATATACACCGCCACTCGATCCAACCGGCAACGAACAGTTTCAAGATCATGAGTGAGGATTTGAATCTAGGGTAAGACCTTCCTCAAGGAGTTTGTGTTCCGATTCCGATGTCCTCCCTCTGTCCGGAAAGGAGCAATATCCAGCTGCATCGCGTGCTTGACCAGGTACCAATAGTTTTCGTCGTACCCTTCACGATTTGGCAACCATTTCACCTGGTCTACCGTTTGCTGTGATGACGTTCAACACACATTCTGCAGGCTTCTGATCCGAACCCGCCCTCACCAAAAGAGCAACTTTCTTTAATCGAGTCTCTGATAAAGAAACAACTCACTCCAGGAGACGTATGGTTTGTCATCGCCAAATCCTGGTATCGGAGGTGGCACAACGCTTGTTCGGGTCTCATATCGAAGGAACCTGTTGGACTTCTCAACCCTGTTAATAATGATGATATTTGGGGTCACGGAGGCTCACTTACCCTTAAAGACCCTGTAGTGGAAGGCGTAAATGCCGAGTTGGTGCCAGAAGAAGCATGGAAGCTCCTGATAGAGTGGTAAGCTCTCTCGACCAAACATTTGTGGTGCGGCCGATAACCCCTATTTCAAGGTATGGCCCGCCGAAGCATATTTTCCCTCGCAAAGTTATCCCTTCTGACGCAGGGGTCATGGTGGAGATATATCCTCCTGAGCTCCGAGTCCTCTACCTCTCGTCGCCTAGAGGGGAATCCATAGTGAAGTATATAACTCTTTCGAGGGAACACAAGCTGCGTGACCTTATCGCGGAGTTGGATTGGAATGACCGAGCGGAGCTTTGGGGTCTTGAAGTTGATAGGCAGTGGACTTCCGAGGGCAACTTCAGCCGCGACGATCTCCAAAAGTTCCCATCACGATTGCTCATTGGTCCGTCCACTCCGTCCGAAGATCGAGACAGGACCCTCCATGAAGCCAGTATTTATCATCTGGATACTCTGATGCTGGACCCATCACCTCCTGGGAAGGAGGCTGATAGATTAGGAGTCACGCCAGCTTCGAATGAATTTGCATTGGTAACGGTCGGGACAAAAGGACTCAAAAACCTGGGGCATACTTGCTATCAAAATTCTGCTCTTCAATGTTTAACTCATATTCCCGCCCTTACCGAATATTTCTTGAGTGAGCCCTCCGGTCATCCTTGACCACCTTTCCCTTCGACGCTGATGGGTTTCAAGGCGGAAAGTTCAATTCCGAGCTCAACTCTGACAGCTTTCTCGGCACTGGAGGAGAGGTTGTTTGTGCCTACGCCAACTTTCTTCGGGTGCTCTTTTCTCCATCCGTCCATACATTTGTGGCACCGCGACATCTTAAACATGCTATAGATTCGCACGCAATGTGGTTCCCACTTTACGTAGAGCATGATTCCCAGGAACTCGTAGCATACATTCTTGACTCGTTGCACGAAGACCTCAACCGCGTGACGAAGAAGCCGTATGTAGAGCGACCCGACTGGGAAGGCGGGGATGCGAGCGCCCTTGCACAACATGCCAAGGTGACACAGGATGGGTACCAAAAGCGGGATGATAGTATTGTCGTCGACCTGTTTCAAGGATTGTTGAAGAGCACGATTACCTGTCCTGGATGCTCGAAGGTATGATTAGAGCTCTCGAGTGTAAGTCGTGGCCATATGAACGACGTTAAATAACAGGAATCCGTCACATTTGATCCCTTCACTACGCTCAGTTTGCCAATACCATACCAGAGGACGTGGAAACATGAGGTCTTGGTTGTTCCTTGGGATATGACGAAGCCTCATGTTACAGTACGTTTGAAATAATACTCTCTTCTTCCTTCTCAATCTGTTCGTCTTTAGGTGGATGTTGAAATTCCTTATGGCACCTCTGTGATGGAATTGAAAGAACTGCTCTCCAGATGGCTCAACTTGGACCCTGAACGAGTGAGCATGTTTTTCCACTAACCCCGATACACCACCTACATTCTACATAAGCTGTTGGTCGCAGACTTATTCAAGAATCGGTTTTTCAAAATATACTCCAACGATGATCCCGTGAGAGACATTAAAGCCGACGACGTTACGCTGGCCTACGAACTTCCCGTCAGATATCCTCCAAAGCCTTCTAATGAACAAGATACTTCACCCTCTCTCATCATCCCAGTGTATCATATCCTCCCATCCGGTCATCATCGTCTTGGACGGAACAGGGATGACAACGATACCGCCAAGCTATTCGGGATCCCGTTGCTCATAGCCTTGAACAACAGAGACGGTGCTCTGGATTTGCACCAAGTCCATTTAGCTATTCTGAATCGCGTTGGTCGCTGGACCACGTCAACGCTTGATGGTATCGGATCGGGACCTTTTCATCTCAAAATTCGCGAATCCACTGAACCAGGAGAAGGGTTACAGCCCCATATCTTGGAGGCACTGAGAGGCCGAACTTTGGCCCTTTCTGATCGACCCCCCACATCATATCACCACGAGGAGCCCAATCCTGAGAGACTAGTCAACCTCCTCGCATCCGATGCTTTGCTGTGTGAATGGGAAACAGAAACCTACTCTTTGATCTTTGGGCCACAGAATGCGAAATGGGGCAGGTTCAAAACGCATGTTCATCCAGAAGCTCAAGCAGCACAGTTTTCAGCTGCGCAAAAAAAACCGCTTCGCCTAGATGACTGTCTTGACGAATTTTCAAAGGAGGAGCAACTTGAAGCGGGAAATTTATGGTTCTGCACTACGTGCATGAAGGATCAACAAGCAATGAAAAGGATCGAGATTTGGAAGCTACCACAATATCTTATTATTCAGCTGAAGCGGTTTACGAGCTACGGCACTGTGAGCGAGAAGATCGAAGAGCTTGTCGACTTTCCAGTCGTAGGTTTAGACCTTGGGGAAAGAGTCGGGGAGCGACGTATTGCCAAGCAGTTAGCGAGCGACGGAAAAGACTTGAAAGGCACTGGATTGGTGGATGCTCTCACGAATCAACCAGTATTTGACCTTATCTCTGTCTCTGAGCATTCGGGAAGCAAACTTTCCTCTGGGCACTATCGCGCGTACGCCAGGAACCAAACGGATGGACAATGGTATTACTATAGCGATGCCAAAGTCAGCAAGACGCAAGCGGAGGAGTCTGTGGTGAGTAGCACCTGTTCACAAGGATGTTTCTTTGATTAATACCACCTAACCCTTCAGAACGAGAGTGCATATCTACTTTTCTACCAGAGACGAACGTGATAAATATTTAGATGCCAAGGGATGGGGTATTCTGTCCCCATGTCTGTTTCAATGACATGGGTCCTCGAGATGCAAAAATAGAGAGATATGTTACATTTACGGGCCACGGGAAGATAACGGTGGAGACAGCGAGTAATCCATTCACAACAACATATTCCACCACGCAGTTTCGCCGTACCGAAAAATTCGGATAAACATCTGCAAAACTCACCCGAGCGACTGGCACGGTAGGCAGGTGACTCTATAGGTCATAGACCTGCCTGCGATACAGGAGCGGAAGAGGTGGGATGGGCCTGGTTCTGGCCCAGTCATCCAATATCCGCTCATTCTGGCTATTCGTACACTGAGACATCGTTGAGCTTGCTGGAATCTGTCGTTGCCAGCTTGTATGATTTTTCAGCCGCGTCCTCAGGCTTCCGTTTCACTCAACCAGGTGTCTGGGAATGGCTACGGCAAATATTAGATGATGTACCAATACTAAACCAACGAAGCCATACAACTCACTATGCTGTACTTTGACTACCAGACGGACCTGGGGTGACTTTCGAGTGACGGACTGAACAAGTGCGGCGTTTTCATTTCTTCAACATGGTGTTAATTTTGCTTCACTCCTTGGCGACATCGCATAGCGGGGTGAGGATATTTTCCAGTGCATTCTAGCTCTCCTATGCATCCGCCGTATGTCAGAGTGAAAGGTGACTAGAAGTGCTGTGGTCGCTAATCATCATCCTCGTGCTAGTCCGACCAGCCGCCCGGATTTTCGAAAGGTGTCGACAATCCATGACCTGAGACACTTGTAGAAAAGCAGCCCGTTGAACTCTCCAGTTGAAGGAAGTTCGGAGCTAGATAATCGCTATAAGCGTATGTGTGGTGAGTTATCCTAGGCTTGTCCAAAAACATCTTCTTGGATCCTTCCTAGCCGTCGCTCTACCCATTATCCATTTGTACAGCTTCTTTGGACGAGCATAGTGGATCGTCAGACAGATGGCTTACCAACTTACCTTGTACAAGACAAGCTCGGAATCGAGATGATTGTCACGTAGCCACGGGTGAAGCTCGTAAATCCGAAGGTCGACGTCCGTGACATTGTCAACCCCCTTGAGAGGCAGACCAAAAGGTCCGGAGCGAACGTTCAAGCTGTCGGGACAGATGACGAAGTATGTTTCCGGGATTTCGGCATGGTGTGTATGAGTTCTGGGTGTTTAACCTGGCTGCTCCTGCGAGCGCCAAGTTCGGAATAAGTACACGAAAAATAATAAAAGATCAGTCCGATCTGAGTCTACCCATCGACCCTCCTTTGTCCGGGTTGGCCCCAGTCGGGGCTATGTTACGGATCGACGGACGCACAGGCAGTGCCAGGATGAGCGTGGGTCAGGACTTGGATCTCAATAGCTGAGTAAACAATGGCAATCCAGACAATTTACACGGCATATTGGCCCCGCCCATGCATGAGTCCGTGGCGCGCATGCGGAGTACTTATTAATCGCGGTCACTATATATACTAGGCCTAAGACATAAATCCGATGAGATTTTTGAATTTTATTCTGCCTCGTATCATGTATGTAACGTATACGCGTAATTTGTACCTCCCCAGTTCCAATTAATTCAGCAAAGAGGTCGATTGCTGTTGAGCGCGTATATTGCTTCCTAGAGGACCCATCATGCGGCGCCAACCGCCAGGGGTGGTTGCATATTAACTTGTAATAATTATGACCAACACTAAACGTCCATTTGGCGGGACAATACATAGTACAATGCCGTGAAAGGAAGTCGATACGACTACAACAAGAATAAAGGCAGCCAAATACTATATACTCCACACTCTCTAATGCAACTGAGTAATGTTTGCACCCCCTGTGTAACCTGCATCTTGGACGGGCACCTCCACAGCGCGAGAAACGTCGGCCGAGGCAAGCGCATTGAAGCCGGCTTCGAAGCCGGCAGGAATATTCCCGCCCACATGCCTCTGTTGCAACACCATGTTTTTAAGCTCCACAAGCTGGTTTGTGAGATTAGCCTTTTCGCGGAATAGCATCAGCCGAGCCTCCTCAAGCCCACGCCGTTCCTCCTCCACCAGCTCCTCCATTGCCTCAAACTGTTCTAGTTTGAGTTCAAGTTTGGTTGATTGAGCTTGAACAAGCTTGGCGGTGAGGGCCCGAATCCGGTCTTCTTCGTGCGATGCCAGGGCTTTGGACTTGGCAGCTGCCGTCGAGAGCGCTATGGCAGCTGCCTTTTCCACCGTTGAACGCGGAATGGTAGTGGACTTTGCACCGCTGTTGGAGGCAGATTTTCTGTCGTTTGTCATAGAACTGTCTTCTACTTCCTCCATTTTTGTTACGCCGTTCCCCGCCTTCTCCCGTTCCTCGGCCCTTTTAGCGGCTTTCCGCTTCAAACTCTCCGTGAGTTCAGACATCCCGGCCTGAGCGGCAGCAGCAGCTACTCCGGGCCCTACAGCGCCAGCCAAGAATGCGACGACACTCATGATGGGGTTGTCTGGCTTTTCAAAGGGAACGCGAGCATATTGAAGGGGACCTAGATCACCTTGGCTTCCAGGATTAGCATAATCATCCTCAATGGGAAGCTGAAGGAATTGTGCGACGCATTGTTCCTTGGTACGTGTCCCGACGTGTTCACTGACCGCTTGAAAATCGTCCTCGTACATCTCAATTCCCTCCAGAAGCAGCAATATTTCTGCATCGGTCCAGTCGTCAGCATGAATACCATCCCCGTGTTTGAACTCGCTGGAAGCGGTGAGCCGCACGAAGTCTCCGCTAAACATCTTTGAAGAGAAGCGCCCATCCAGGTAACAATTCGGGCATAGCTCAAAATTGTTGGCTTTCAACGAGTGGTATCGCTCTGCTGTGCAATCAGCCCCACAGGTATCACAAGAGTAGGTGGCGAAGCCGGTTTTATTGGACGCAGTTTGGTTGGCGAGCTCAGTGGCAACTTCAGCGGTGATAGGCTGCGAGGATTTCGTGGATGTTTGATAGACGTTTTGGCGAAGGGTAAGTTCGGATGTGGCACGTTTTGCGCCGGCTCCTGCTTTGCTTTCCTGAACAGGGAGGGATGAAGGAGGCCGGGTCGTCCCTGGATGAAGCGGTTGGAGACCGCGAGGCGTGTCGATTATTACTCGGAAATGGCCCGTGAATGGAGGGACGAGTGCGGACGGGCGTGTGTCAGGATCCACCTGGAGAATGGATATCGTGAGATGCTTGGGTTCGCGATCTGTCTGAGCATACCTGATAATTGATAAGACCCCACTGCTCAAGAAAAGCATGTACGCGAAGGATAGCACAAGCGTCTCCGGCAAGATTCCGCCGGCACGCAGTCACGGTGAGATACTCCCGGGGCCGAAGTCGGTAGGTGTTAATAATGAAATCACGATACTCCTTATATATAGCAGGTGTCTTACTCCGATTCCTCGAGTTAAAAAATTCGGGTAGTGCCCGCTCCTCGACCTTGTTGATCCGCGACATATCAAACCACGCAGCGTATGATGGAATGATAACTTCGTGAGTCTGTGCAGCAAGATAATTGCGCGCCTGTTGCTCAAGACGTGCTCGGTTCGCCTCTGCCTGGGCAGAGTCCCCTTCTGCCTCTTCATTGTCATCAGCTTCATCTTCATCATGCCCCTCTTCTTGTTCTTCAGCTTCTTGCATGGATACGTCTCCTGCATCTCCTTCCTCGCCAGCCACGTCTGGAGTGTTTGCGGATGAAGCGAGAGTTGAGAAGTCACCAGCACGCGCCGCAGATGTGCTCGCGGATTCAGAGAGTCGCATTCGTTTCTGTTCTGTGGCAGGAGATGGCGATGCCGTTCTTTTTGGCGAGTATGTGGACATAAGTAGTCGGTTCTCCACGGCTGACGTAAGCAGCCAAGTCAGGTGATAACTTCATTAATCTGAATCGTGTTACTTTATCTGTGCAAACCGGGCCAACATAGAAGTACCTTCCAACAAGGCTTTCTGCTGCCTGTAGCGCAGACTGTTCCAGTCTGCGCAATCGGGGAGTCCAGGCCGTCTATAGATCGCCTCACCGACAAGATCGCTGATTAACACAGCACCACCGTGGGCGTATGTACCGGCGTGAGCCGCGCAGCCTACTCAATTTGGCATTCCCGAGCCGTGCACCTTGTCACATAGACCTCGTTTCACACCTAGATACGGGATTGATTCCTATATTTCCCCTTTGGACTCCAGCCTCTGTGACTGCCTACCTTTTCCCTTACTCTAGCGCGGCCGTGCTTTAGTATTATTCCACTAACACCACACCCCTAATGCGGGTCGCTTGCTATGAGTATATCACTACGACTTGCATCCGAGCCCCTTCATCCGCGATCCGTCCCCTTGGGTTGCAATACTCCCATGGCACCTCACTTTTTTTTTTTCGGTAGAACCCCTCGTAGCTTTCGCTGAGTACTGGGGGTTTGTGAGCGGGTTGTGATGTAAGGTCATTGTCATTGGTTGATTCCGGAGACTCCACCGTGGAGAAATGTCTTTACGCACTATCGGGGGTTTCCCTAGCTAGTGTAGGGCTCGCGCTAACGGGGAGGGTCAGGAATACCCACTAAAATCCCGCTGGTTGAAAACCAGTCTCTTGGGAGGTCGCGTTCGCTCCTGAGGGTCCCTCTACAGGTGTCGAGGATGAGTTTATTGGCTGTTGGGGCGATGATATTGTTATCATTTTGTTCTCCACCTATAACTCTGTGGCAGCTGAGTTTCCATATTTGCCAGGCTGCTTCGGTGATCAGGATTCTCAGTGAGTGTGAAGCATCTTTTCTTATTTCACCATTGGAGTATTTAACATTCATTGGGGATATGAGCTATATTATGTAAAGTTTTGTGGCCATTCTATGTCTCTTACGACTTCCCATATCAGTATGTTATGGTTGTGTGTACATTCGAACAGTATGGGGGACATGTCTTCCGTTTTGTCGCATTCTTGGCAGAGGCCTCTCTGTTCGTAGTTCAGGAACTTTTTCCAGTAGTCCGATTTTGTGGCCATTTTTCATATTAAGTTCCTTTTGTTTGTGGGTATGTCTCTTGTTTTTCAGGGTGGTCCTCCATATTCTGTCATCAGTTGGATGGCCGTTTTTAGGGCTTGTCTAATTTCGGTCAGGTTCATTTCGGTGTCTTCTGGTCAGATTCTTTTTTTTCGCGGACTATAAGTTTCAGGGCTGTTGCTTGCGTTAGGGCTCTGAGTCTAGCGCCTTTTTGGACAGTTTGGCTTATATAATGGGTTCTTATATTTCTAGGTTCTCCCGTGTTTAGTAGTGTGTCTGCGGCGACTGGGGCTAGTTTATCGGTTTCGTTTCCTCTGATGCCCGAGTGCTTTCAGCCATTCAAAGGTGGTGGCAGTCGTTCTGGTTCTTAGTGTGTGGACAGTATCCTAAATGGGGTCGGCGTGGCGTAGTCTTGGTCTTCGATTGTTTTTAGGTTTGTGCATAGTGTGTTTATACACCATCTGGAATCTGATTTTATTATATATGTAGGCGTGCGTTTGAGGGGGCTGCACGTTGTATGACCACATTTTGCCTACGTTGTTTGTCTGGGTGATGGTCGGGTCTACAGGGATGGCGGTATTTCTTGTTTGGTTTAAACCATATGCCGCAGCCGGCTATGGTGGTGGCGGCACCTCACTTTTTTTTCAAAACAACCCTGATCTGCACGTGGAAGCGCTTTGAAACAAGATTATCTGCAAACGATGCGACCTATCTCGCCAAATTTCTCTTTGCTACTCTCCGGGAGGTTCCGGTCTGTATTGCTGCTTGCCGCGAAGATGAGTGACTAGGAGGATCCCTCTCGTCTCCTGGCTCAGCATCATGGCTGGGCAATATGGACGAGGTTTCAATGAAACACAACCACGATGCTCGTTTGGTGACTTCGACATGACCGGTGCCTTCTTGTCATCTGGGCTTTTAATATATCCTACTTCATTAACAGATTGATTCTATTACCATCCTCCGCACTTGTACCAATCCCCTGATTATGAATGGCCGAGAAAATTCGTTCTGCAGTGTGCTCAGCAGAGCGAACTCCGAGAGGCCAGCGCTAGTTCACATTGTTCTGCAAGTGCCCGATTGCCGTACACGGCCAAGATGGATGTAAAAAAGGTTTTTCAAAAAGGAATTGAGGCTGTTTCAAAGTGGATACGTCTTCGACGCTCATGCGAAGATCTTGCGGAACTTGTCTCCGAAATCTTGGTGAAGGATAGCGATGGCTTTGTAGAGTCTCCAATCCGCTGGGAAAAGTTGTGTCAAATAGAGGCTAGCAGCTGCCAAAAGGATGCATACAAATGTCAACGTTTCCGGGACGTGAGATCAACTCGTTTGACGAACTGTCCGTCTCATCTTCGTCCTCGTCCTTATCGTCCTTATCGTTCCCTTGAAACGCCTCACCTTCCTCTTCTGCGCGCACAAGCAAGGTTTCGAGTGCTGTCTTGAGGGCTGACAGTGCCAGGTGGAAATCCTCCAACATATACCAGATATCACCCCGCTAAACGTGCAAGTTTTCAGGTGCCAATCCGCCTGATGAGTACACGACACTCACTCGTATTCCGTTGTCCCGAGCGAGTACTTCGAGTGATCCATGGTGCCAGAAATCATAGGCGTATGCATCGAGCTGATGGTTGGGGTTTGTGAGCTTCGTTAATGAAGGAACAGCGTGAAGAGGTAGGACAATTCCCGCTCTTAAACTCTCGACAAGTTCCTCGACAGACGAAAAAGAATCCTCATGTCCAGAAAGCGCGACAAATGAAGAACGAGCCTTCACGTAAATACGGCTTGATTCAAGTCGTTGGATGAATGTGTTCGCGAGATTGGCAGTTGGGTTGCAGCCAATGACACGCTGTGAGAGGGGAAGAATGTTATCGGCCCTCAAGCTCGTCGCGTACTGTCTGCAGTACTCTTCTACGTAGGAACTAAAAATCCCCAGTATGCTAGCGTGGTGGTCTTTGAGAACTTGTAATACCCCTGGAGGTAGAGGAGGCATTATGATGCGAGACGATGATTTACGAATTGTTTCCAGAAGGCTTTCATTAGTTTGGGAGCGTCGGGTACAGGTTGCGAGCAGTGTCGCTAACACTGTCATGAGGTCAGAAAGGGCTTGATCATGGGCAACGTCACTCTTATCCAGATCCCGAGTTATTTCGTGCAGAATGCCCGACCGTATCAATGCAACAAGCGCGAAATTGGCGGGCTCATGTGGATATAGGTGTGAAACCACGCCGTAAAGGTTCATGGGGCTGGAGGCAAGCCAAATCTTGAGCTGGTTCACCCTAATTTAGCGAATGGGAGAATGCTCACCGTCCATTTGGATCGAGAAGTCCAAGACGACGAAGGTAATCTATGCTGAACCTGATGAAGTGAAGAAATTGTTCTCGGCGCGTTTCATTTCCAACAGTGAGTTGCGGCAGTGTCAACAGGGAATTGATGGTATTGACAGCATATTCTGAGTTGCTGGATCCGTGCAATAAGTTGTGCAACCGCAGCACTAGCGTGGTTGTCATTGGAAATGCGCCGCCCTACCGGGTGATGAAGCTCTCAAATCGATTCTGGTGCCTGACTAAAATGAGACCAACCAATTTGGGAAGCCGAGAGAGTAGTAGACGCTGTACTCTGTCTAATTCGAGGCCCACAAAGACGACGAGTCCTAAACTGAGGCTTCGTTGAGTGTGGACATCCTAACGTACGCAATATATTCACTTATCGTAGCCCCTCCGACCCGCCCGTCCTGACCGTCGAATCTAGTCAGGGGATATTGTGAGGAGAGAATAATGGGTAGATTGCTCACCGGAACATTGGCGGAAATTCAATGCCTAACACGACGGATTAAGGGAAAGGCAAGAAAAAATGTGCAATCGCTCACAGTGAGATACACGGAATCTCCGGCAAAAACACATGTGCGAGCAGGTGCGTTAATCCCAAGTGCCAAAGTGCCTATTCCCTACACTCAGAAGCAGCAGAGTGGAACAAGCAATGCACATACCAGTCGACACAATAACTTTTAATGCGCCTTTGCGGAAAAGGGTCTCCACAAGGGAACGGTACGCCTATACATAGGTGGATGACATTACGAAACGTTAGGCCAATGGAGTTACTCACGCGGTTCATTCCAGCATGATGCACGCCAATACCGCGCCTCAACGCGACCACGGCCCCTGATACCACAGGATTAGAAACGGAGCCTGAAATCTTAGAATTCTTACAATCAGGGATCTTCGACTTTGCCCACGCAACTTCGTCCAGCTCCTTATTCAAGTCGTGCTGTGATGTTCCCTAGGGGTCCGAAAGATCGTAAGATGCTTGGTATACAACTGTTGAGTACCTAATACCTTTCCAACGAAACTGAACTGTTCCGAAGGCTCGTTGGGATCGAAGTAGCCGTGGATCGAAGAATCTTCGTCCCGAGCATCATTCTCCTGCTCCTTTCGGCTCGTATGCGCTCTGTTTTTGAGCTTCAACGCAGCTATTTGTTGCTGCTCTTTCCACTTTGTAATTTTGTTCTTCCATGCAGGGCTCGTCTTTCGCCATTCCTGCTCGGCTTTTTCAAGAAGGAAGACGACATGGCACGCGATCCTCTCACACTCTGCGCGATAGAATGTTCATCAATGACAGTACACTTCCAAATGGCTACAAACGTACTGTGGCGGTCAAAATTGAATACGATGCAAGGCAATGCATCTTTCGCATTTAATTCTGCCAAAACAGAAAGCATGCATTGGGTAATGATACAAGGCGGTGAATCCCTCGTGTCCGGTTCAGCGAGTTCAGGAAGCATGGCCCCCATGGATTCTTGCATCTGGGTCTCAGTAGCGGCTTGCGCTAAAGGTTGCTGGAGATATTTTATGACCTTCTGATATGGTGACGTCGGGGCACGATAATCGGCTCTGTTGCTCCATAATATCAGGACATCCTTTAGCTCGGCTTCATATTTGATGACATCTCTAATCGCAACTGGTTAAAGTATCGCATTAGGAGCCTATCGTGCAGTGTGGGACCCAAAATACGTACTTGAGGGTGTCGAGGCAAAAAAGGTGGAGGGCGTTAAATTGGGATTCAGGGGCTCACCCGTCCAGCACATTGCTTGCCAAAGTGACAGGCAGTCGCGGGGTTCCAACGCAAGATCATCCGGGAGATTCGGATCACCTAGTGCGAGTGCAGCAATTGGATGCACATGCACCAAGGCGGATGAATCCTGACCATGTTCGGAAAGAGGCCCCTTGACAGGGCGTATCACTCGGGGCAAGTACATGAATTTTCTCAGAGCATTATATCTATCATCGCTGTCAGAACGTCAAAGAATTAAATCCGAGAGCGTACCGATGTTTATGCAAAATGAGAGAATATTGGCGCCCACGATTCCGTTCCACGGACTCAAGCCAGGATGAGAACCGTAAAGGATCTCCGACCGTAGCTGATAACCCGATCAACGGAGCAGGATTCATCAGCAAGACCTGTCTGCTCAAGAGCACATTAAGTTTAGCTGCGGCAAGATTCCATGATTTGCTTACTCCCAGACGGCCCCTCCTTCCACTTCGCTGATAGAATGGACCTCATCCACTATCACACGCCGCAATCTCGGAGTCCACACGGCAGCAAGAGCAGGGGATAACAACATGATCGAAAATATATGTGGTACCTGCGCATAGTCAGTTCAGTGGAACGCAACTTGTTGCGCGGTGGACTAACGGTGACCAATATTTGACAGTTGTGCGGGTTGTTGATTCTGTAATCTCTTGTATGTATTGCCCACATGTGAACACCTAGATGATTCATCAGCAACGTTTGGAGCCGTCAATGCCGACGCTCATACCGGGGACACTTTTGCGGAATCTGCATTAAAAACGCATTCTCATAAGAGTGGCTCGAAATGTTTCTAAGTGTCACACGCACCGCGCATATACTTCAGCGGCTACCTGATTTACTAGCGCCTTAGTAGGCGCGACATATACGACAACTCCATCATCTGATTCTCGCAGAACCTGCGTATACGAATGAGTTTGTATCATCATTGCCTGGAAGAGCGATATACCTTTTCCATGGCAGCAAACGATATGAATGTCTTGCCGGAGGACGTTGGCGCAACGATGAGCATGCTCTCGTTGGCATCAATTTTATCCAATACATCCCGCTGCCATTGGTCGGGCTCGAAATCAACTCTGTGGCTCTGAGTCAGGACAGACACGGCGCGAAGGTGTAAGAATTACCGAGGATCCGGCTGGCTGTCAAGACTCCTGGTCATCCATTCCCCCATAACACGCAACTGATATTCATACACATCCTCTTTTATTTTCATGAAATCAAACAGGGGATCCCCCCTTTAAGCGACATGAAGTTGAAGCTTAACTTCGTCGGTCTGGCATCTGGCTTAGCTTGTATGATTGGCTTCGCTTTTTTCGACGGTGTAGATTTTTTGGGTTTGGAGGTCGTGTAATCTGAGCCTTCCACAGTATTTGTTCCGCTCCCAGCTTGAGCCAAGCAACTGAACCCCAATGCTTCGAGCACGGAAAGTATGGCCTTGCGTTGTTTCTCGTTTGGGTTGTAACCATTCTTGAGAGACGACTCTAATATGGAACGGGAAGTCGTAGCGAGAAATATTCGATATCGATCTGCAACCTCCGGAACTTCACGCTTCTCATCGGCTATCCACATGCGAAGTTCGATATCCATTTGCTTGAGCAAGATCTCGCATTTGAGCCATTTATCAGATGTTCGTTTACTCATTGCAAAAGCCTTTACGAGGGGGAGCTGCTGCTGAAGAGAGAGGGTACCAATTTCAGAGATCTTCTCTGCCCACCATTTCTCATTCTGTGAAGCAACTTCGGCCTCCCTGGTGAATCGGTCAGCAGAGTCCTTGGATCCAAAATTGAGACGTACTTCCGTGCTGCGTTCTCTGCTAGCAGCCTCTCTTTTGATGTTAATGCCTTCGCTGATGTTTTCCGATTAGCCTGCACCCGGGAAAACGATCCATCGTGCTTGGTAACTGGGTGCTTCGCAACAGCAGGGATTATCTGCTGTTGGAGAACCGTCCCAAGTGCCCCGGTGAGCGAAGCGGCGCTTCTTTGCATAGCCGCCATGTTTCGGTGTTCTTTTCGGTCACGCCGCCTCCTCTCCCACTCAGAAAGGGGCTGAGCATTATTTCCACCAAGATGGGTGGGAAGAAGAGGGTTGTGTGAGTGCCAGTGGATCTCATCCTTAAAGACCGTATCGAAATCGAGCCGGTTGGGTGTTGTCGCTGAGGCTGGGAAATCTGAAACATCAACACGAATGGATTCCAAATGGCGATCGAAAGTATTGTTAGAGTATGGCAAAAGAGTTGATTGCGAGTTCTCCAGGACAGCAAGATGGGGGTGGGGTAACTGATTTGGAAAACGCCGCCTCAAACTTGCAAAATCAACCGGTGGCAAACCAATCTCCAGAGCTCGTGCTGTTGTGATAGCCAAGAGCTCATCGCCAATGATGTCGCCCACCGGAAGAGGGGACGCAAGAAGAGAAGAGACTAGAATACAAAACAGCCGCCCATCTAGGTCAATGTCACAAAGTCCCTGGGTTTTTGGGAGAGATGCGGCTGATTGACGGATCGACGAATAAATCAAGGGGAGAAAGTCATCATTAAGGTATGATGTCAGTTCATGTGAGAGTTTTGGCATATTTTGGGCTCGAAAATTAAGCGGTAGTGACGTGAGAACAATTGCATGGCAGAGGTAAAGCCACAGCATTGCATTTCCGGCATTGCCTAGCGATGATCTTCTAGAAACAAGTTCAGTCAACGCATGCGTCAACACAGCTTGAAAAGTGGGGGATGCCGGCGGGGGATAGGGAGGGTCCGTTGACTCCGTAGCTTGCGATAGGCACCCTTGAGCGGTTCTGAACGCATCAACTAGATGCTGCGGCAGAATCAAAGGACGAGATTTCCTTCCCTCGTACACATAGGTCAAGATCTGGATAAAGGTGAGCCACTTGGTTTGCACAATGACATGCCCCACCTTTCCATCCCTAAACTCGGCAGGATGCAACAACGCGACAGGGAATCCAGAATTTATCATACTCAAAAGAAAGAACCGCTGATAGAGTACGCGCTCTGCTGAATATTTGTTCTCGCTTGATGGTTGACCGCCGTCATGAGTCATGAAGAACATTGGCTGCGTGCGAGGTGAGTATGATCCTATTAGGGTGGACAACATACACAAAGCAGACCTACCCGCTTCACGTCAAAGTACATTGTCCACTCAGGATCTTGAAGGGACTCGAAGGTGTGAGTGGGAATAGAGAGAGACAAGATATGTCTACGAAGTAACTCCCGAGCCAACCCTCTGGAGGAGGTGACGCGCACTGCACTTCCCGAGAGAATCGTGACATGGGTGTTCACTTCTCGCTAGACAATGAACAAGTTGCACGCATGTGAGTTCGAAAAGATAACACACCCTCAAAAAACACAACTTCGAATGTACAGTCTCTAGAGATAAATTCCTGAAGGGTCTTTTCTACTCGCCATGCAGCATGCAGCAATTGGAAAGACGGGCCAGAGTCTTTGCCTAGAGCCAGGAGAGGATCATCCAAGACAAGTTGAAGAAGTGCGTCGCCTAAAAATCGCGAGATCATCAACTCCTAAGTCCACCAAGAGCAACGCTCCTATTACACACCATCCAACAAAAACAATTCTTGGCCAGCATAATCACCAACTGATAAATTCCATAAACCACACATCAAACACACGCAATGGTAGCCTACCTATATCCAGCATTCTACCACCGCGTTTCGTCCAGGTACTGCAACAAAAATGTTGAGCGCTAGGACCCAAGAGCATGATCATGAGGAACGGTACACGGTACACATCAAATTCTGTCAGTGCCTTGGAAGCAAACATGATTTTCACGATGGTTATCCACTCGCTGAAGTGAGATCACTACGTTGGGTGACTCTGCTGACATAAGCGCCTCGTGTCCGGTACGAATCGGAAAGATTTGCCATTGTTTTCGCAGACTTTTCCTTGAGGATGAGTTGACCGAGCTGGACGTCCGGCCTTCCCGCCACCATCGGCCATCGAAGGAAATATTGAAAACTGCTTACGTAAACCGAGGCTATCTATGCAGTCCGTCGAAACCGCATCAACCTTTCGTTCGTACCAAAAGGGCGAGCCATGGCTGATTTCCCTGAAAGCACTCCTGAGCCATCTGAGCCGTCCCCTCGGCCTCATCGTCACGAATTATTCAATGGTTCAGACTACGATTTAAGTCTTGTATCGAAAGATAACATAATCTTCAATGTCCCCTCCTCCACACTTCGTCGTTCTTCGAACTTTTTCCGATCCGTTTTCCTTCTTCCCCAAGAAGCTCAACGCCATTCAGACCCAATAAAGCTGTTCTTGGATGATGACGCTTGGGTGGTGGAGGCTGCACTTCGGATGGTTAATGGCATGCCAATCCAAATGGAGCACTTCAAGTCCTTCGATTCTCTCGAACCAATCTTACATTTCTGCGAAAAATATGGTGATGTTTTCTATGTGCCATATATATGTAATCCTAACTAACACTGCGAAAGACATGCACGGCCCTATGTCCATCATACAACTTGGCATGACCCGGCCTGAACTCATCTCCAATCCCTTCCGCCTGTATACCCTCGCGTGCCGTTACGGCTGGAAGGAGGAGATTACGATAGCAGTCAATCACGCTCTCGACCATGACATTACTGATCCAGCATCCGTCACTCGCTTTGGAGCCATCGATTTCTTGGATTATGCTAAATTACTATCCCTCGTCCACCGGCGGAGGACTCAGTTCGAAAGGCGCTTAAACGACCCGGTGGTTTTTTGTGGAAGCAAGTCAGCACCTTGATTGGCTACTCTCCCCCGTTTTGTCTCACTCTTCTTTTTATCTAGCCCAACCCACACCTGCCGAACGTGTCAACAACGCGTAGATGACCTCACCTGGCTCGTCATGAAGTCCCGGCTCCTCCGTGAGCTGGAGAAACACCCCTCCGGACGAACGATTTGCTGCGAGTCCGGAGACGGCTTTATGCAGTGGCCTGAGACCACGAAGGCGATGACGGCGCAGCACTGCACCAGGTTACTATATAGTCCCGAGCATACACGGAACGCTGTCTTGGACGCTCTGAAGGACCTTCCTACGAATCTGGAATAAGCGACAATCGTAGGAAATGAAGAGATAATTCTTTTCTCATTTCCGTTTGTCAATAAATATGAAGTATTTTCCTCTCCGTATCGATGTATCATTAACCGTACACCAAAATGTAGCGATATTTGACAGGTTGGATCCACGAATCCCCCAGCACGACCTCGAAGGGCGTCGGCACCCGCCGTAGGTGGGGGATTTATCACACGCACGACACCCAGGGCAAAATGAGGGTTGGCCCCCGAGCATAGCCAATAACACATAGGCAGAACCCTCCTCAGCGTTAACACCCCCGCTCCACCCAATCCATCCCTTTTCGGAACACGTCATTGCAACAGGCACTCGATGGGGACAGGAGCAAAGACGTGACTTTTAACATGAGAATTCTCACTCGGATGGCACACTGCATCTTCGGCCTCAACTCCAGGAAGAGGAACAGCTTTCATCGAGTAAGAAGCCAGAAGCGACGACCAGGCCGGGGAGCCAAATGCAGAGTGCATCGTTGAAGAAAGTGAATGCTGCGCTCGTAACCCCTAAATCGCCATGAAAGACCAAGTATCTCGCAAAAGAATTTCTCCGCAATTGCAGTTGGAACACATCCCGTAAGTCTGGGATCCAAACACGATGCGCCCGCCATTTCGAGCATAGGAGAGAAAAGAATCAAGGCCTTCTGCAGGTGATGATGATGATGAATCTATCTGGTCCTCAACAGCACAAGGGCTTCTTTGGTTCCGCGAGTTTGAACGAAAGCGGCGTTACTCAAGGCGTGAAGGAATGAGTAGAACCAATCAAGCTCAGCGAATTTCCCGATGAGGTATCCGGCGTCGAACAACGCGCCCGTGGGGCATTTCTCAGCTTTCGCTTCGCAGAGGGCAACACAAAATTGGTAACTTGGGATCCCGACTAGCCGCACTAACTGATGTTTGAAGCAAAGTGGGGTCATGTAGTTTCACAGTTGTACTTGACTCAAGATGGCGCCGTTACTGGGATAAGTCCGTGCGTTATAAAAACTCGGACTTTACCCTATATAGCCCACACGTCCCAGCCTTGGCACCACTCGCCCAACCGCTGTCCGACGCCCGTCCCTTACACTTTCTCATTTTCCCGACACCGCTCTTAGCCTCCCTAGTCAAGTTTCCCACGCGCACAGAGTCCCTGACTTGCTCAAAACAAGACATCAGGGATGGATGCGGGGGAGTCACTTGCGCAGGACTTCCCCGCGGGTTCCTGTGTGGCTCCGCCCATGTACTAGAAAGGCATATAGGCCAAACAGGGATGTGGGGAAGTCATAGGGCCAGACAGTCATAACCTGACAAAACTATTGGACTTAACCTCCAGTTTTCAGGACGTCCCAGAAGTTCCCACGGGCCCATTTTTGGCATACGTCCACAGCGAAATAGCCCTATCTGAAGCCCAAAAAACACCCCTTAATAGGGTCTTAAACTTAGCTGACTAGCCTGATAAGGGAGCTAACTCGGTGGGGAAGAAGCTCTTCACCCCGAATGTATCTCCTAAAGAACATTTTTCGAGTTCTCGAACGAGTACCATGCGGAGAATGCGCCACGTGGGAGGATTAATGGGGGCCGGAATACAAAGGGCACTGAGTAAGGGCGAGGCTGCACCACTATCTGACGTTCTTAATTGCTCCCATTAAAATCGTCGGGATTGTTGTGACGGAATTCGAAAATATCCTTTCGACGTCTCAGGAGTCCAAGTAGGCGTGCAAAATCGGCAAAATCGATTCCACTGAGCTGACTTACTTATATCTGGGTGGGTGAAGTCGAACCTGAGGGCGAGCCGTGCAGAGAGTTGCATCTCCACTTCTCACGAGAATTGGCGGGCAAGCTTGTTTTGACGTGCATGTGACACTGGCAGAAGGTTTCCTTCCGTCTGCTCCCTCAGCGCTGCCTTCGCGTCTGCTCCATCGGGACTGGTAAGTCCTCAGTTGGTTGCAACAGGGGCTGGAAGCTTACATGTGCGCCACAGACAAGTTGTCTGCATCTAAGCTCCATTCTTAAGTTCACATTGCGCTGTGCTTTCAAGTAGGTCTACTTCACCTTGCGCAAACTCCGTGCGGGTCTCACTGTAGCGCCTGTGCTACTTCTTTCAGCTTCTTTTAGTTGGTTTGCCTTCTGTCGCGTCTACCCACCACCTCCCCTTTCACCAACCTGATATCTGATATTCCTAGCCTTTTGGTCTGGTATCATCACAAATTTCCTGTATCTCGCTGAACTGTGTATTTGGATATTCGTGTATTCTGTTGTACATTACGGGTCGCACAATGCCCGCGCGCGCCAATTCACAGGCCGGGACCGCTTGGGTTCCGGCCGTTTCCACTAAAAGCGCTTACACCGTCTGATTAGTTCCCGCTACTCTGTAGCGGGTCCTGCAAAATTTTCGCCCGGGACTGAATTCGTTTTCTGACAAGGTCCTCCATTATTGCCAATTCTGCATAACCCAGGGTCCTCCAATCACTATGTTGGTGATTGTTACAATCCAATACCCATTCTCCTGCCTGTCTCTCTCTCACTTCCCCGTCTATGGCCAGTATGTTCTGGATGTACTTCTTTTTGGGCTCTCGTCTGCAGGTCCGATTCAATATCGGAAATTGATCTGCCATGCTTTTGCGCATTTCATGCTCTGATGATAGTTCTGATCTGGACGGAGGTGACATCCGACATCCCCTCCGCTGTTTCCAACAAATTTTGAGCTATTACTGTATCCGGATCGAAAGATCACCATTCAAGTTCCGAGTTCATCACGGTTTGCATTGCTCCGTCTTACTTTTGAAATCTCTACCTCTACTTCTCCATCTGAAGATCCTTATCAGCGTCTGACACGCTTTTGGTCTCTTGTCTCATGATATACTTTTACTCCGAGGTCAATGTCCACTGGCCGCACGTCATCCTCTCCCTTGTTACAGAAGGTCACGAGGATTCGCCTTCCTCCAATGTCATGCTTCCTATTCGCTGCAAATGTCATCGCTCTTTAGAACCTCGTCATATTCCTAAAATGGCCATAGCTAACGATTAATATTTCGGACCCATTCCGGAACCTTGCTGAGTTGACCATCATCAAAGAGGCCCTGATCGCGCGGATTGTCCATTTGCGCGATGTTTTGTCCACTGGTCATTCTATTGATCCTCCTTCCAATCCCAGCGTGATTGAGCAAGTGTTCATAGCACTCCCTGTAACTGTGGGGACTCAAAAATAGGGCGAGAAGAGTGGCGGGTTCTGCCGCGTCAGGCGGCGCCCATCAGTTATTCATGAGCGTGGATTCAGTGAACTTGCTATTTCATCTATCTGTCCTAAACTCGTTCATGCCATCAAGTCAGTTTACAACACTGGTCTTCTGCCCGCTACGGCCATCCTCACGCTCACCGAGGCTATTTGTTCTGATGACCTAGGAATAATGGAATACGCAGGGGAACTAAATTTATGGGCCGTTCAATTTTTCAAAGACCATGACGCCCTCCTTCCCCAGAGCCGTAGCACACGCTACTACGCTCGCACCGGCCCTTTTCATTCTTAACACTGCCTCACGATTCGTGACGCCTCCGACTCCAATAATCTTGATCCCAGAAAGGCGCACATCATCAGATGACGCCCTCTCAAGTTCACGGCTGAAAGCCTGGACGTTCCTAATGTGCATCTCTAGATGATACATACGAGATTTTGTGGATGCCAATGTGTACATACCCTAATGACAGCGCATGGATGGCCTCTCCGGCTAGTCCTCCGTGTCCCGTGGGAGATGGCAGCGCAAACTCGGTTGCCACTCGAGTCGGTGCACCCTCGATCTGATCTTGGAATAGAAGGCTCGAACCAAGTGTATTCGTGCACGTAAGGAACGATATAGGGTGCGCATTCCGCCCCGAAGCTGATTTTAGAATACGAAGCGTGCTCACCAACTCCGTGAACTGACCATTGTGCACATAAGGGGATAACTTGATGCCTATGGGGATATAAAACGGTAATGGGGGATCCCCTTGAAGCTGGCGCTCATGGAACGAAGAAAGTACCTCCAGGAGAGGCAGCAGAGTTACCATGTCATAGGACGGAGGTGGCTTATTGGGAATGTTAGGGCAGCTGGTGTTGAGTTCGACACCAATCTCGATCATTTTCCCATTCCCCCTGAGATATTGGACGCTTCTTCTGAAAGCCAGGATCTTATCAAGCATCGTAGCTAGCTCGTCGGGGAGTGAGGACGTGATACTGATGATAAATGGTTTGTTGGATGATGGATGAGACTCGATGATTTCCTCCAACCAGGAAAGATACTGCTGGAGCGGGAAAGGAGAGTATCCGTATGAGTTAATTGAAGAGTACGAGGTCCTATGGAATGCCACCTGTTGGTGGAGAAATAATGATATGTGGTGCATCAGGAGTGATCGCTACATACGGTTTGAACGTTCGGGTCCTCATCGAACCCGTTCATGGTCGCAGTCCGTGTTGTTATGGCACCGGTGTAAGGCGACCGGTAGAGCTCCGTTAACTGTTCCAAGTTGGAAGCCCAGGGACAGGAAGAATTTATCAATGGCGGCTCGATGACAAGCGCATCTCCAAGCACGACCATGTCGACGCTGTCAAATGAGGGTTTGAAGCTGTCGACGGCGAGGGCTGAAGAGACTGAGACAGCTTAGCTGATCGGGACGGCGCGTGGTGGCGGTGCTGATACCTTGCTGGCAGAGCCAGCCTCTGTCAGAATGCTGGCAACGGGAGCGCGATGCCCAACAATCTGCGATATCCTGCTCAGACATCCACCGTGTTGCTGATAACAACTACGGTCAATCGACTGGGGCTGGACCGCCAACGCTACACTTCGCCAGCAACGCAACACGGGGATCGTGAGTTGCGTTCTCATTGAACCCATCAGTCCCATGGAAAGTTAATGGTCAGGTCTGTGAGAGCTGTTCTTGACGGAATACCTCTTGCGCACAATGAAATAGTCCCTGGGGCCCCATAGATGTATTGGAATTATGAACTAGTCGCGAATTAGCGCTAGGAAATATATACAACGTTAGACAATATTCCAAGTGATGAAAAGGGGGTCTCACCTCAGTTCCAAAGTCGTGAACTGAGGAGAGAGAAAAAAAATCGCGCGAGGTGGCTTTTAAGCCATCCCCGACTGCGGTCATCAACATGGGTCCCAAAAGTAGAAGCATCGGGCAATCCTTCATGGAAATGCCCGTGCGCAAGATCTATAGTCCGTGGGACATTGTCGAGTAGTCCACAGCGTACAACAAGCCAAGAAACAAGATATTTCAACAAGATGTGCACGGCTCCCCCCGAATCATTAGTACATTGCATTCGAAAGTTTGGCAATGGGAATCTCTGTACCGATTTATATTTCTTCTTGGAGTTATTCCAACCACCATAAGCTTCATATTTGGGCGATGGGATCGCTCAAGAAGCGTCGACGTCACGACCAACGACTCATAGACGAACCTCTTGCCAATGTCAAGCTAAACATCACATTGATATATTGGCCGCGCATCAGCATCACGGCTTCACTCTACTGATAACCAAGATTGTTCCGTATCTATGCGATCGTGATACATTATTGACAAGAAACGCCTATCTAGCTGAGAGTCCAACTCTAAGCACTTTCATCCCTACTTATCTTAGCCTCCACGTCATTCGGCAGCAAAGTTGACAGACAAATCGCCACGACAGGGGCCAAAGTCAGGCACAAGAAGACACCGTATCCTCGCAGCCAATCATGTTTTATTGAAAGAGCAAACAGACTTGTGGCCGCAGCGGGCCCAAATGCGCGTGCCAAGCTGATGATCGTCTGGGCTGCACCGTTTACCGTTCCCAGAAGGGACGGTGATGGCGAAGAAGCAGTTATGAACAGGAAAACGGATGCTACCCAGGAAGTGTTGAGCGTGAGGAAGGATATGGGAATGAAGGAGGAAACGAACCATATCCCATATCATATACCGACCATATAACCATCATCACACCAATGATAGCGAACTTAATCCATGATCCAGGATAGACTAGTGTAATTACGTGTATAATCGGAAAACAAGCTAATAGCAGAAATGAGAAGGAGATCGAGAAGGTAAACGTTTTTTTCCCGCCGAATCGTTTATGTACTCTAGGGAACGCTAGAAACTGTGTAGCGCCACTGACTCCACCGAGGGAAGCGAGAATATTCCCGATAACCTGGGGTGGGAGATTAAGACCACCAGCGTGAAGAGGGACGGCGAGGAACACCGTGAAGATAGCGAATAATGATATATCAATTATAGCGAGGGCTGCGTAATTTGCAATGGCAATGACCACAGGTTTGGTGATCGCTTCACGAAGGGTAGGAGTAGATGAATTGCGTGGTGTCGACTCAAAGCGATCCTCCGATGAAACCGACCCATACGAGGCTCCTCTTGGTACGCGGCGCACAGATTCATTAGTCTAAGTGCCAGGGAGGATTGAATAGAGAGTAGACAAGGGCTTCTTTCCGGGTTGGACGAACCTCTTTCAAAAACATGAGTCCTATGAAGAAAGCAAAGATAGGGAAAGATGCAGCGACAAAACACGGAAGAAAATACGGATATCTTCTCCAAAGAGGATGATCAAAATAAGCGGGGAAGCGCTCCGCAGGATGTTGGAGCGACCCTCCGACAAAGGGGGCTAACCATTCGGGAGTTGCATCAGGAGATGGTATCTCATATCGTAGATGGGGAAACACTCACCAACGGTGCATCCAGATATCCATGCTACAGGGAGGAACGTGAAGAGAATAGCTCGGTTCGTGTCGTCAGACATCTCAGCTATCATTGTTTTCGCGACACCGGCGTTTCCGTTAAGGAAGCCTGCAATTGAACGACTTATGATAACCTGTGTGTACGTCTTAGAGAGTCCGAACGATATCATGGATAATGAGAGGCCTAGAAGGCCAATAAGGAGAATCGGACGACGGCCAAATTTGTCAGAGGCTTTGCCCCATTGGAGCACAGTAAGAGCTGGTATGAGATGAGCATGTGGTCTCGTTTGTATCCGACAGTAGATCGTGGTTACCTTGGGCAATGAAGAACAGCGACTCCTACAAAAAGTTGAAGAGGTTAGTGAATGGTAAAGGTGACAGCTGCGACAACTGACTATGAACCCGACGTAGTATCCAGTTGCCTTTGGATCACCATGCGTTATACCTAGTTCATCCACAAGCTGTGATAACGTAAGATTAGACTGATACGCTTGCAATATGCTAAGTAGCTTTCCTGGGAAATGAATGGAAATATGCAGCACGCAGCAATGGGCTCCGAGAATAGAAGGAGGAACAGTATCGCAAGCTGCTTCTTTGGCAGGGGAGTCCGTTTTATATCTTTCGTTGCGTTCCAGGTAGTTGTATCTTCGGCCCTCAGATGAGGTTGAAGAGGCGTTGTCTCTTGTGGCTGATGCTCCATAGCTATGAACGCAAGGAAAGACAAAGGCTAGTTGAGGAGGGGAGGGGTGAGAAGAGTCTGGAGGAAGCGCAAAGTGCTCCCACCTAGATTTTTATTCCCACAGATCGAATGACTCATCCCAGCACCCAATCACAAGGAAAAGTCGGAGCCGACGGCTTACATGGAATAATAGCAGGGAGATTCAGATTGCCCTGCTACTTGACGAATGCTATTCGGTTATGTATATGGCACACAAATACCATTCAACAATCACCCGGTGGTTTCCAATGACAACCTTTTGAGTTTCTCTCTACAGCTTTCTTCCAGTATGTGACGCGCTTATTCAATGCGACAGGTGTATGACAGATCATCGTCACCATTGTCAGCGAATTGGTAATTGGCATGAGGCGCCCAGTCCTTACGTGTGTGGCTGTGTTCACAATTCGGACTTTGGCGTTCGGCCACTTACGTAAAAGCGGTATTTGCCAGCTCAACTGACAGTCACGGCTTTCTAGAGGCTCTCTAGGGTTATGGTAGAGGCAACATCTTGTAGCACATCTCTCTTATTACTTATGCCCCGTTAGACCGAAGCACCGTTGTAAAGGCTCCCCTCGTATATCCACCTGGCACGAAAACCGGCTTACTTCACACTATGAATGAAGAAAACACAGCAAATATTCTGACTGCGACCTTTTCCGAGCATCGCCGTCACAAAGATCCCCATTGTGTGTGCAGGTCTTGCTTGTTTGTATTTCGAATTTCCTCGGTTACCCCGTGAGGGATAAGCGCCCGGAACACTGAATGTAACCAGCTGAACTCCAGGTACCTACATACCCTCCTCTGGAGCACGAACGCAATGTCAATCCGTCATCGGCTCCAGCATTCGCAAGTGCACCGAGTTGTCCGGAAGTACTACCAACATATACGTACAGGCACTTCGAACCACGCATCTTGTACTTGGAACTGTAATAATTTGGAGGATTCTGTGTATAACGTTGTCAATCCCATTGTCATTGGCAACAGCACTAGTCCGCACGTAGACTGTAGGGAAGACCAAGGCTTGTATTCAGCGGGTCACAGACAGGCACCTTTGCAGCTTGGAGGTGCAAACTCTCAGTTCGGTCGGCAATGTGCTCTGAACTGGTGAACAAAGGCACTGAACGGAGTTCCAGTACAATCAACCAAACTGGTCGGAAGCGAGTTCATAGCCTCGTTTGGGAGAACTGCCCTAATTAAGCTGTTTATCTGTATTACACTTTATGCATGTGCATGTGGAGGCAGGCAATTGGACATGATTGACCCAGGTACGTGCTGGAAAAGGTGATATCAATGCGCTCAAACGTGTATAAATTGCGCGCGCACCAGGGAAATTGAATAATCAAGATCAGCGACGTACTACTCGGGCCTCGTGTTGATGGGTACTTAGGGGAGGGATCTTGCATATGGATGCCGTCCCCTCACAAGGCCAAACCCCCCTTGTGTGTCAATCCTTTTCCACCACCCTGAATTCTTCCTTACCTTGACAGGGACCAGGGACATGATCGGACCTGCGAGAGTAAGTTTCATCTTTCGTATCGAAGATCTACCCACCGAAATTATTTTATCAGCATGTGCGGGTGCAGACACCTGACGACCCTAATCCTTCAAATGCTCAGACTCCTGAAAGTGATATCAGTCCTCTTACCTTCTATGAATACCTTCAACGAGATCGAAAGAAAGATTTATCATATCGGTGCCGTGTGCTCGGTAGATCGCAAACATTTGGTGGGGGGTTGCCAGTAGTGCAGGGTCCAGTACATGAATGCGTCGATTTCCGCAAGGTCGAATTATTAGACATGGCCCAGCGGTATGTCGAAGCCGAATGGGAAAAACCACTGCGACATTATTCAGTGTACCTTGCCCAATTATTGCACTGGCTCCTACTCCTGACCATTTTCATGCCTTTGAATCTCGTGGTATTATTTGTATGGCTACCCATTGTGACCCTCGTAAGCGCTATTTCATTAAGATCGAACCTTCCTCATCCCACCTCATTAGAACTCAATGAGAAAAGATCCGCTACCACAAATAAAGTTTCCTCCTTACCATTGGGCCCTCAGGATTAGTTTATGGGCTGTTTTCGTTCCTTATGCAAAAATAGCCTCACATGGCGGTTTGCAAGAAATGCTATTCCTCTGGAGTCTCCAGCCTCCATACCTACATGCCAAGGTCAGTTCTCTTCAAAATACCATCAGGATGCCGAAAATAATATGGTTGTTCATGCATAGCAAGACCATCTAGAATTAGGGAAGGCCTTGGTCCAAGAGAGAAAGAATCGACTTGAACATTTAAAATCAATCGTACGTTCAATATGTTGGGCTACATACAATCCCCTGTGCGTCTAACATTGACTGTGTTAGCAACAAGCTTTGGCCCAGGACGAGCATAGAGCTCTTCAAGACTTGAAAGATGCGTTACCGAACAATGAGGAAGAAGATGAGGTTCGCAACATATCCACTAGTTCCCAGGAGCGAATCCCCACATTCCTTTCCTAGGCCTTCAGCTCCGGGCTCAGACGAGTACGAGAACTGAGACGAGTACGGACTGAGGCATGGCGACGCAGCGTGGGTGACTCCCAGTTTGTGAAGGACCAGGTAGATGAATTGGACATCATTACTCAGTTGTTCCGTTAATGACCTCCGCCAAGATTGCGGCGATAATTGCAGAGATCCACGAAATTTGCGAAGCTGCCGGGACTCAGACCAACAAGGAATTGACAGGCTATGCAGGTGAGTGTGCCTTCAAACAATAATGGACGGTGACGGCGCTTATCTATGGTTTAGGCGTTTCTGATTGGGGGAAAGTAAGGTTGTATCCACCTCCTTGCTGGTCGTGTGCAAACCGTTATGTTCTCAGGAAGCCCTCGAGGCACGTTCGGGGTTCTTCAACGCGATGTCTGTCATCTGTGTTCTCGGTGCTGGTTTGAGCTATTCATCTATCATGAGGTACGCATTTTTGGGCCTCCATTAAACCCCCTGTTAACACACACAATTAAATAAGCGCCTCAAGGGGAAACATCTCGTATATGTGCTATTCATTTGCCCTTTTCATGATCGGCCTAGTGATTATTACTTCAGTCCAAGTCGCGCTGACTTGGTGCAGCCAACGTTCAAATCACCCCTTTGCGACACCGCTCTTTTGGGATTTCGTGATCGACATTCTACAGTATGGGGCTCTGGCGACCGTGGCCGCTGCTATCGTCCTCCTTGTAGTATCTGTCCAACTCCTCACGGTTCCCCATAGTTCTGCTAGCGACGCAATACAAACTTTCTCCCCAAAACCAGCGGCATACGCGACATATGCGGTATGCATCAACTTTGTTCCTGTCCACCGTGACGGCTTACTCACGATCTATGCACAACATCATCCGCAGCTTTTTGGCACTATTCTTGTTATCGTAATTGTCGCCATTTACGTATTTTGGTCTGCTAACGGTTTCGAATTCTTCTTGGCTCAGAGATTCGTCCACCGCCACCACGTGAGGACGAAGGGGTTGGAAGATTTTGTCTCCTATCCTGACTTTTATGAAGTCTGACACATTACCGCGCACCTAAATCACTTATCACCCTGTCCAAACTGGCCCGAGTTTCATCTTCCCCTTCGAAAGCCTGTTGTCATTCGGTTTCACCACTGGACTTCTACTAGAAATCGACTGCTTTGTTAACACTACAAATCAATGGTTGACCAACCTAGCAACTGAGCCACACAGATGTCTGATCGCGTACCTAGGGTGGTGTACATTAAGGAGCCAATATTGCCTCTAGAAAAGGATATGATGAAACTCTGGCGTGATCTTCGGCTGAAGCTGGTTTGAACCATGCCCTGATGGTAGTGGGGCAACGTGGGGTGCAGTCCATCATGTTGTATCGTGCAAGTATACTGAGACTGGTCAATGGTGAGCATATGTACCTGCTGCTATATCTTGATGGACGCGAATTCCCAATATCCATGACGCCCTCGCAGCGTGCCTAAATCTATTCTTTGTTGATCATCTTTTTGCGTCTCTTCTGTGATGTCTCGTTCCGCCACCCGTCCAAAAGTCAGCGCTCCAGTCTCCACCTGCTAGTTTCCAAAATAAAACATTATGTTGGTAGAACGTGCAGTGTGACTGACAGCATCAGATCATGTTTATTCCCAAGCAAGGCCACAGCGGCACAAGCAGCCCTTCCAGTGTGCCGTCAACCCGATGCTTGACTTGTGTGTGAGCGAATGCGTCAAGGGTAGCGTGGCGACGGCCCCGACAGGAAGTCGAAGCCTCTTGATTTGAAGCGAGCCGGTAAATACAGAGATAAGAAAAAAGGAGGCGATGAGGCAGGTGGAGGGTAACGATGAAGACGACTGAGAATGACAACGGAGATCCCAACAAGAGAGAAGAAGTCAAGTTACAAAAATAAGGGATCAGCCAAAAAAAGAAGAGCCACCGTAAACATCCGGGATCCAACTTGCAAAGGGTAACCAAGGCTAAACTGCCTTAACCAATGCAAGACCGAAAATTCAACGCCAACCAAACATCCTAACCAGAACTGATAAGAAAATTAGTTAGTAATATACGACGGAGTCATAGGAAGAAGAAGACAAACTCCAGCGTGCGCGGACGCAAGAGAGAGAAAAAAGGCTATAAAACAATAGCGTGCAGCGGACGCAAGAGGTAGTGGCTGAGAAGCCTAAGCGTACCGCGGACGCAAAAGAGAAGGCACGGAGGCCGAAGCGCTCAGCGGGCGCGCATACAAGAAAGATGGCACGGAGGCCGAAGCGTACCGCGGACGCGCATAAAGAGAAAAAGATAAACCAACGTACCGATCATGCAGCAGAAATCAGAACCAGACTTGCAAACCAGACAACCAAGAATGAACATCGCGGATGATCAGTCTAGAGGCATTAGGCATTGAATAATGCGTACCGATGACGGCATAACCTAGCAATTAATCTCGTGCCTCCATTAAATTTAAATTTGTGATGTTAAGTATGTTGCCGCCGCTTACGGATCTTGAGAAATTGGGGCGCAATATTGCACGAATCTTCAGCTTTACCAAATAGACACTTGATATTGCGGGCATACACAGAAACCCTTCCTCATGCACAAGAGAGACGTGTTGGAGGCGGGTGATTTGCATTTGGAGAATCATCGTGTAGGTCTTACAGCTAACCTAAATGCCCCACCCAGCGCGTTCCACAAAGAGCACGTGAATGGCCACGTGCTTCTTTTGTCGGAAAAAACCGAAATCCGTGGAAATGCGTTGCAACGCAATGCAATGCCCAAAACGGGTAAGTGGCGATGCAACCGTGGTGTCGAACACTTGATGTTGCAATGGCTAGGTCCGTGTTGCAACGGCTAGGTCCGTGTTGCAGCGGCTAAGTCCGTGTTGCAATGGCTAAGTCCGTGTTGCAATGGCTAGGTCCGTGTTGCAATATGATGCAATGGGTTTGTAAAATGGACCAAAAATCAAGACCACCCCAGTTTCGAACTCACAACCCTCCAGTGGAGCCTATTACTATATAGGGAATCGAATGTATATAGGACATATTATTAATACACAATTACAATTAATATACACAACCGTAATACCACTCGGCCAGCGAGCTCCTACATATACCTACTCTACTTGGGCTTTATATCAACAACTATTGATGAACTGTGGATGGTCCGGAATAGGAACACTCCCTTCATCAGTTCAGCAAGTAGCAGTCATGGGCTTCTCTGCAACACCTGAAGCGATGACACACACAAAATATGGCTGAGCTGGCCACTTCAACTTATTATCAGTGACTCGGAACATGATGAGAGGCAGTGGACTGGTATGACTAGGTGCGCAATATCATGTTTGCTTTAGGGTGGTTCTGCTGGGTATGGCACAATACTGTTGTGTCATATCGCGGGTACCTCAACAATAATTTATTACGTGCACTTACTACTATCTTACACCACTCCCTACTCCTATGCAGTACTGGCAGATTGACACCTCCCGACTTCATCATCACCAAACCTCATCAGCAACACTGTTAGGCCAGATTGTAATATCGCATGCACACCGACTAATCTCGGCACTATATACTCAACCTCGCAGCGGATGCCCATTGCCCCAGCCATTCCTGCCACCACCACCAAGCCGATTAGCAGTCAGCAATGGGATTGGGATAATGTTGCAACACTGCATGCATTCTATGCCAACCAATCCCAAAGCGGACGGCATCCCCCATCACCAAACTTGCAGCCAGTGCTTGTATTGCACATTAACACCTCCAACTCCCTCATCATTGAGCTGATCTACGAGTGTTGGACTTCTCCTTTCCCATTGTTGTCAAATAGTAAAACGTGTAGTTAGCAATTTGAAATTCAGTTTTCAATCCTTCCAACTACCACAAGGCCCTGGTTCGCTGTCTGCAATCTGCCTGCGATCTGTCCGATAAACATTGAAGGAGGTTCCTTTCATGGCCCACAATGTCCATCTCACCAAACCCAAGTGTCAGGGATCAGCAATGACCCTGGACCCTATGCCGGCTGCGCGTATGCGCGTGGGAAGTATGCCGGTAATTCCCGTCTACTCTGCTTACCTAAGCCCCGGTGACCCGGATCATCTCCGGCATTGTTCTGGAACATTCTATGATCACGTGATTCTATCGGCAATCCGTTTGGTTTCCTTATTGCCGGACTCTACATGTATATAGCTGACCCTAAGATGGGGACATCCCTTTCCCCCGGCTTTAATCACAACTAGGTTATCGGAGCATCTTGCGCGAGCACGCGCGTCCCCTGACACCAAGCTCCAGTGCATTCCGGTCTCGTCGATTCCAGGCACCAACTAGCTCTGAGGTTGTGCCACCTGCTGACCCTCCTACCAACACTGATCCTCTCACCCACACTGATACCTATGATGAAATCAATGATGGCACTGATGCAGATGGTTCAGATCCTGGCTCTGGTGATATAACCAGTATTAAAAGTGTCGAGAAAAGAATTCGGGAATATGCAGCTCTCTATGCAGTTCTCTATTCTCCCTTTTTGTCAAAAGCTTCCCTTAGAGTGGAACTCAATAGCAACTTCCATTCATGGACAGCTGAGGCAATGTTTTCATCCGAGGCAAATTTCAGCCAATACTGTGTCCACAAGATTCTTGAAATGAAGTACTCTATATTGACAGATGAGCTCCGCACTCATTCTGGAGTTATGCCCTGGTTGGCCAAGGTATTCCCTATGTCCTGGTGGCTTGCCTTACAATTAATTAATCAGATATTTCTGGTATGGCTAGTTTGTTTCTGATGTTGGGGCAAGGAGATGGCAAATGATGAGCCGCTTGCGAAAATCAAGCCTTCAACTCTTTGGCATGGACTTAAGTGTAACATTGCTGAAGTCAGGACATGGCCCAACTGCTGAAGAATGCCAACAACATCTCGGAATAATTCCTGATTCTCCCACTCCCATCGATCATCTGCCCTTGTTTTTGTTTCCAAATAATGACCGTTCTTGTCGCCAGCATGTATTTCGCTCACAGGTTGTTGCAGCTGTGAGCACTTTACTTGTGTGTTATGCTAATCATCTCACTCATATTGCTCAACAAGGCAATTATTGTTATTATTTTTGGACCTGCTGCACTCAATGATGCTGTGTCTGCTATCCCCCTTCCTGGATCTCCTTTGCTAGAGGATTGGGAATCTGCAAGGCTGCATGCATCGCCAAAGGCATTGGGTGTTACACATGCAGTAACTGAAATAACTCCAGGCACTGTTGCCATTGTTGCAATGCTGGTGGGCACCACTAAAATCCTATTTGACTGTCTTATACCAACCAATTGAATCTGAAATAACAGGTCTATTTCATGCTATCTGGTGATACTGAGTTGGTTTCTGCCCATGGGAAACCTAGTCACACCAATTATCTTGACATCCTTCTCAACTTTTACAAGTTCATCCTCACTGTGCTCAAACGAGAGGAAACTGCTACACTCCGTCCAATGCATGAAACAATGCAGTGGTATCAGCATTTATTGTTCGGTTCTCCTGCAAGAACAGAAGAGTCAAATCTGTTGGTGGAAGGTGGAGGCCTTGCTGGGGGCCTGGATGCCCTTCTTGCTGAAATGGATGTCAATGATAGTGAGGTGAGTCCACTGTCCAATTTCTCTGTATGAGTTTTGACATGGGGTGGGTCTCCATCTTGTGTTGATGCTGAAAATTTGCTGTAGGAACCTGAAACAGATCCAGCATCACCCAACATACCCTCTGAAGAGCCTCGTAAGTTCAGCCAAAACTCTTATATACATTTCGGTGCTAACACTCTCACAGAGGGCCCAGAACCAGATGTTCAGACTGAAGTGGTGGCTAGCTCTGCAGTTAGCTTGGGTGAAGGGGGTTTGACAAGGCATGGGTGCAGAGGTCGAGTTCATAGAAATGACAGCCCTGGAGATAACAGTTCCAGAGAGGTCAGTCGTGGAAGGAGAGGCCAGAGGCAAGGGAGCAGAGGCAGAGTTAGGGGCAATAGTGGCCGTGGAAGTCGTAGAGGCCATGGAAGTCATGGAGGCCAGAGTGCTGCAACTGGTGATGAGTAGCTTCTGTGAATACACCATGTTTATACCCCTTTCCCTTTGTCTGTTTTTTCTCTTGTCTTTTGTCTGTGTTTTGCCTTTGTCTGAGTATGTCCTTGTCCTTTGTCTGAGCATTTCCTTGTCCTTTGCTTGTGTAACTGTCATGGTCCTTGCATGTTCTGATGGAATAATCATTGGATATAGAGCCTAGGAATGGAAAGTTAGACTAGGTAGATACATACAAGGCAAGTTGGTGTCAGGGAACATGTGTCAGTTTGACCTTGCAGCCAAGAATCTCCACAACCACTCCCAGTTCCATTACCCCCAGTTGTCATATCCATCACTTTCCACCACCTTCCATCACCTTCCATCACCTCCAACCATCTCCATCCCTTCTGCACCAACCTCGGGACCTCAAAATTCCGTATTCACCTCCACACCCCCCAATGGTCACCACCCTTCATCAGCAAAAGTCCGTTATGCTCCGGAGCATCAGGAGTGGCTGGAGCATGTGGGAGACAAAACAGCAGATTGGGCACTCCTGGAGCCAATAGTGTTCTCCTGGGAGGGGGTTCAGGAGCGGCTGGGAGTGGTGAGGAGTAGGCAATGTGCCAGGAGCAGTGGGAGGAAAATTTTGGTCTCTAAAAAGTTGAAAAAAAAAATTTAGGGAAAAAAATCAAAAAAATTCAGGAACTATAGTGCCTTTAAAGTGCTTTCAGGACATATAATTATTTGCGAAATTGAGGAAGAAATGATGGAGAAAAATGGAAAATACTTTCAGAGACCCGAGAAGTAATGAGAACTGAATTGATGGGAAAGTCTGAAAATTGAATAGGAAAGTGAGGGGAAGCCTTGTAGCATTGTTATTTTCTGCTGTTGTGATTTTTCCTGATTGATCTTGGTCTCACTCCCAGCTGCTCCTGGACCCTCCCAGGAGCTTTCAGGAGCTTCTAGGAGTATTGAGGAGCAGCTGGGAATGAGACCAAGAAGAATTGGGAAAAATCACAACAGCAGAAAATAACAATGCTACAAGGCTTCCCCTCACTTTCCTATTCAATTTTCAGACTTTCCCATCAATTCAGTTCTCATTATTTCTTGGGTCTCCGAAAGTATTTTCCATTTTTCTCCATCATTTCTTCCTCAATTTCGCAAATAATCATATATCCTGAAAGCACTTCAAAGGCACTACAGTTCCTGAATTTTTTTGATTTTTTCCCTAATTATTTTTTCAACTTTTTAGAAGTCCCTATTTTTCAAATTTTCCTCATTTCCCTCTATATTCCCCCTCATTCTCCCCCTCATTTCCCCCCTCATTCTCCCCCATTTCCCCCTCCATATTCTGCAAGTCCGAAAGTGATTAAGTTGCCAGATTGATCATATATCAGGCCATAAATTTTGACTGTGTATTGGTGAGTCTCAGTGTCCTTGATGTATAGTATAGTGTTTGATCTAAATGTTAAGTAGTGTCTTGTTGTGTTAGTCTTGTGGTAGGAGGTATTCATGGGGAGTCTTCCCCTTTTTTTTCCTTTTCATTTTCAAATGCTCCAGGAGCTCCCAGAAGCTTCTCACCCCTATACATTTTGAAGCATTAAATTGTATTTACTGGATATGTTTGTGCACAAAGCAATGCTCCATGCCCTCCTGGGAGTGCCCTGGAGTACCTGACCAACTCCGGAGGAAATGAGCTGTTCCTGGACCGGCCAATCTCCTCCTGATTCTCCCAGTGCTCCCCATACTCCGGAGCACTCAGGAGCATAACAATTTTTTGCTGATGTTATGCCACCCTAGTGTTAGAACCAGGCGAGAGTGGACGATTCCAGAGGGGAACTGTCAGAGACCAGATCGAGACAAAGGACTGTCTCCATGATGGAGGGCTTCGGCCTCAGCAACTCAAGCCAGGAGCGCTGTGCCAAGTTACATGTCCGTGCCCTAATTTACTTATTGGCAACGAGAACTAAGGGGGATCAACTCTAGTCGATTTTATTACTGAGGTGTAACCTATCTACAAGTTGAGTATATATAGTTACAGCAAGGGCAGGCCTGTAAATGGCAGGGCCGAGCGGAGCAGAGCTAACGGAGTTAAACATTAGCCGATTGAATATTACTGACAAGTTGGGTTACAGGGTTAGTGGAATGGTAGGCGATAACCCAGAAACAGAAAGGAGAGATAGGCCTGAAGGTGGGCTTGCAGGGCAAGCGAGTAAATTGCCCAGCGGAGGCAGGAGTGTGCTAGTGGACATTGGAGCTGTCCGGAAGCCTTCGGGGCTCCGTACTTAGGGAGGCATAGGTAATATATTGAAAAGAGGGGGTGGTGACCATTGAGGGAAGCAGAGGTGATTGTGGAATATGGGAGCTCCGAGGTTAGTGAAGAAGGAGCGGAGGTAGTCCAGAGAGATCGGAGGTAGTGGAAGTCAATGGCCGTGGATGGATATGACAGTATCCCCTTCTTAGGCCTGAACCCTTGAAGGCCCAGAATTAGTAAGGTGAGGGGAGCTGTACTTACAGAAAGAAGAAATGAAAATGGAAGTGAGGAGTGGAGAGAAAGGGAGAGATGGGAGAGGAGTCGAGGTTCCTAAGGAGCTTTGGGACCAGGTTTGTCTGGGTACCGGGAGTGGAACACTTCGATGAGGTCGGAGGTGTGATCAAGTTTGCCGGCAAGGAGCCATTGTGTCTCCTCATCGGTCCCTTCATAGCCTAGCCACTTGACCAGGTAGAGCAACTTGTTGTGTCTACGTCGGTCGATCTTGGAGTCGAGTATCTCTTCGATCTCGAACTCCATCTCGCCTTCGATTTCTATGGGAGGTGGAGGTGGCTGGTGGTGGTTCGGAATGATGTTCGGGACAGAGGGTTCGATCTGCAAGACATGGAATACTGGGTGAATGGCTCACATGTTTTCTGGCAGGCGGAGAGTGAGGGAGTGGGTTCCAATGTGGGCAATGATCTCGAATGGGCCGAGGTTTTTCTTGGAGAGCTTTTTGGAAGGTCGGGTGGAGCGGAAATACTTGGCCTTTACATAGACCGAAGTTCCTACCTCAAAAGCTGGGGCAGGACTCTGACAGGAGTCTGCTGGGCCCTGATAATGGATCTGAGCGAGGTGCATTTCCTTGTGAAGGAAGTGATGGGGGGAGTCGAGATCTACAGAGTACTCTTGGGCGCGTACTGATGTTAGGTCTTGCTCTGGGTGAATGGTGATGTTCGGATGGTAGCCTTTGTTGGCAAAGAATGGAGAGATGCCTGTGGTGGCATTCGGAGCGTTGTTGTATGTGAACTCTGCAAGAGGTAGGAGTTCGGACCAATTGTCCTGCTGGTAGTTACTATAGATGCACAGGTACTGCTCGAGCGTCTGGTTCATCCATTTGGTCTGTCCATCTCCTTCCGGGTGATAACCAGAGGTGAAGTGGAGGCAGATGTCGAGGGCCTTACCAAGTGAATGGAAAAAATGAGAAACAAACTCCGGACCCCTGTCGGAGGTGACATGGGAAGGAACTCCATGCTTGGAGAACACATGGAGGAGGAAGAGCTTGGAGAGGTGATGGTATCGTGGGTAGGAATGAAAATGCACTGTTTGGACAGGTGGTCCATGATGACCAAGATGGAAGTGAATCCGGAAGAGGAGGGTAGCTGTTCAATGAAATGCATGGAGATGGAGTTCCAAGGATGTTCAGGGATGGGGAGTTGTTTGAGTAAGCCGTAAGGCTTGTGGTGGGGGATTTTGGCACAGGCACAAGAAGTACAGGAGGAGACATAGCTTTTGACGAAGTTACGGATGCCCAGCCAGGTGTACTCACAATGGACTAGGTCCAGAGTCCAGTTTTGACCGAAGTGTCCAGAGAGCTGGTGGTCGTGTTTGTCCTGCAAAATGCAGAGACAAAGATTGTTGGAATCCGGAACATAGATGCGGTTGTCCAGCCTTAACAGGCCTTCGGCATCGACAGACCAGCGGGAATTGGGGAGGTTGGGGGAAACAAGATGGGAAGAGATTGTGGTGTCAGAGGAGAGGGAGGCTAGAATGTCTCAATGGAGAGCCTCTGTGTTGACGAGTACAGCTGCTTGGATTACTGTGGCAGCTAGGAACGTGGCTCGTAAGGATGCAGTGAGCTGCTCCGAAGTGAAGACTGGTCAGAAGGTCTGCAGATTGATGCGAGCATAGTCCATATCCCCTTCTTTGGGATAGACGTCCCAGCATCTAGTCAATGCATCTGGTTTTACTCCGAGTCTTCTGGGACGGAATCGGACAGTCATGTGGAACTGGGAGAGGAACTCTGACCAGCGGGCTTGCCGCCAGGTCAAGAGTTTGGTGGTGGAAAAATACTCAAGGTTCTTGTGGTCGGTGACGACGTCGATTGGAGTTCCTGAACCTTCAAGGTAGTGATGCCATGATCGGAACGCATTGTGAATGGCAAGCAGTTCCTTATCATGGGTGTTGTAATTGAGCTCCGGCACCAAGAGTGTTCTAGAGCAGAAAGCGACAGGGTGAATCTCTCCATCATCACAATGGATGGACAGGATTCCAGAGATCGCATAATTGGAGGCATCGGTTTCTACAATGAGGGGGGCATCGGGTACCCAATGTGTCAGGATCGGAGCAGAAGTGAAGGCTTCTTTCAAGGTGTTGAAAGCAGAGTGACAGTCATCAGAGAATAACCAGGGGGCTCCTTTACATGTAAGGCATGTCAAGGGGACCACAATGTTGGAGTATTGGTGGATGAAACGCTGATAGAAGTTAGCAAAGCCAAGGAAGGACTGGACATCCTTGACTTTATGGGGCTCAGGCCAATCTTGGATGGCTTTAACCTTCTCAATGGACATGGTGAGTCCGGAGGGAGAAAGGCAGTATCCGAGATATTCCGTAGTGTCTGTATGAAATTTGCATTTCTTCGGATTGGCGTATAGGCCATGTTTGCGGAGTCTCCTAAGAACTTCTCAGACATGCTCCTGATGTGAAGCCATGTCTTCCAAGTAGGTAAGGATGTCGTCTAGGTAGACTACCACAGAAACATCCAAGAGGTCGGCAAAGATTGTGT